TGTCGTGATATCGTGTTTCATACTGTTACTGATTTGTTTATTACAGCTTGTTCACATATTGAAACCTTTCATGGCTATAAAAGCAAGAATTTAATCTTCCCAAGAAAAAAAAGATTATAGTGTGATAAAGAAAAAGAGAATTTAATCTTTTATTTCTTTAATAGAGAAAGAACTGAAAGCTGTAGTTTGTACATTTCAATCAGTGTTGTTTTATTTCTTGAATAGAGAAAGAACTCAAAGCTGTAGTTTTCAAAAGAATTTTCTCACCCTGGAGGTAGTACTCACTGCTTTGGGGTACAAACATCCCATTTTCACAAATTACCATTTTGTGCATTTTATCTCACTGTTTCTAAGTGGGATTGTGTTAATAAACATGGCATGGTTTGAAAAGTCTTGTTTGGAAACTGTTTGAAAATAAATCAAAACTGCAGGTGATAACTGGTTTTCAGCCACCCTTGCTTGTCGTATGAACATGTCATCACATCTCAGCTGTGTAAAAAATCAGTGCTCACTGGATTGTCTGGTCAAGATTTGATTATGTACAGACTGTGGTAATTTAGTTGAAACATTGCAGACTGTCGTGTTAAACAAACAAAAACAAAATTAGGTTCACAAGAATGAAATGAGAAAAAAGCATGATGTTTTGAAACTCCAGAGAAGATTTAACTGTGAGTATATCCATGACCCTATAGGTATCTTTTTACCATATGTTTCAGTTGTGTATATCAAATTGTCATTATAACTAGGGTCAGAGGCATTGTAATGTTCAAATATCACTCTAATTCTCAATGCCTCTAAAATAAGACTATACGACACTTCAGGCATACTCCATCATCATTATTGTCACAAGTCACAAACATGCATTTTTTTCTATTTCTCATTCTTATAAAAGTTTCTGATGATTTTCACACTGATTTGTACCGTTTCCTCATTTCTAAAATTGTGCATGTCCTTTCTGCCAAAAAGGGCCTTTGTCATTACTTGTCCATAAAAAGATGTGTTCTGCATTGGATGAAGGGGTATGATATGATATGAAATGTAATTTCATCCTGGTATGCAGTGGCATTTAGTCCTTCTACAGGGACCTAAGTAGGATACGAAATGGGTTGTGGTACCTATGGTGACCACAGATGCATCATGGGGAGATGAATTGTATTGATGGCCAGTCTTTTTGTGTATTTGCTAATTATAGAAACCGGTGGATTAGTTCCATGATTACATAGAAGAGTCTTAACCCAATATGATATGAAATATCAGTGCAAAACAATACTCAGTCTTGCTTACCCTCAGAATCAAATTCCATCTAGTGTAAAGAGAAAAATAGATGTGACAATTATATGAATGGATCGTTGAAAATCAGTGATGACACCAGGTGTTCGCAAAAAGGGCAAGTGTGTCCGGTCCTACTTGTAGTACCCGCCATTCCTAAAATTTGCCTATAAATATGAAGTACACTACATTATTATGATCAATATTCTCAAACTCGAGTACTTACCTTTCCAGGACTATAATTATTTATGTGTTAATGATATACAGTTTATTTCTAATTCATCATATTACAGCTTCTCAGGAGATGTTTGCTCTGATGTTTGCGTCTTTAAGAAACATTATGTAAGCAAATGTTTCTGTCATCATGCACACAATTTGCTTTATTGATTTCTCCATTTCCCACAAGTGTCTGTTTGGAATGTTATTCTTTCAAGACAGTTGTTTGAAGTTGGGTTGCTTTTTTGCAGATAAAGTATTTCCGTATGTCAGAATTTTACATCAACATGTTTAATCATGGGAAAAACATTGCACTTGAGACTTTCAGGGGTGGAAATAACTTTAAAATTGCTAGTGTACTCCGGTACAGTGGCACATGTAAAATCACTTGCCCTGGTAATTTTTCCACTATACCGGCCTATTTTCTTGTTGATTTCTTAAATGAACAGCATAATTAACATTGGAGAGTCAACTGGACACTGGTACAGCACGATATACAAATTTGCTTGCCCGACAGAAAAAACCACTGGACTCGGACGTCGGGCAATGGGTTATTTCCACCCCTGACTTTATGTTCTCAGTTTGTAAATATTCCAGAAGGATAGTGCGATCTAGTTCACAACAACCTGAAAAACAATTATCCTACATAGCAAAGCCACTGGGGGCACACAATGCACAATACATCACGTATATTGCCTTATTTTGATGCAGATCATCAATTTCTTCAATACATTTTCTTTTCATACTGAATATATCAACACAAATCAATAAGTAAATGAAACTTTGTGTCAAGTCAAGGGAGTTTTGAGCATTTATCAAAAGATACAATTTTACGATTTCTATTTATCCTCTTAATCATTCCTTCAATGTTTTATGCTTGTAAACAGTTATCACCAGTGTCTTGTCTGTAAAACACACAGCTGACAGATGTGGCAGAGATGAGTGATGAGATGTCATGGTAACTGATGGTGTCACAATAACCTTCAGTGCAGTATGATTGCAATATTAATCAAATATATGCTTGATATCACCCAAATGGTATCTAATGTGAAAGCCTGTACGTAATAGAAAAATCATGGGAAAATAACATAACATCTTGATTCCAAAAGCTCAGCTAACAATCTTCAAAGGGATGAGTCGATAGAATGAAAAGATCTGAGTGATTTCCCTGAGTCAACGCATGTTGTTGTTGATCTGTACATGTAGCTTGTTTGCTGTTTAACTCCGTACTCAGCAATATCTCATCTATTTAGTGGCGGTCTGTAAATAATCGAGTCTTGACCATACAATTCAGTGATCAACAGCATGAGCATCGATCTACACAGTCAGCGAGCCTGACTATCTGATCCCGTTAGTTGCCTCTTACAACAAGGATAGGTTGATGAAGACCAATTCTAACGCAGATCTTCACAGATTTATCTGTACATGTAATTTCTTTATAAATTTACAAATCACGTATGGTAGTATAAAGTTTCCTTGTTCAAAAATGCCTGTGAATTCTTTACTCAGAACCAATTCCAAAATGATCAGTGACAATAGGATGATTTGACATAATGGTTTAAAGCATGATAAGTAACCATGCTTACACATGCAAAAGACTTTCTATATATAACCTACCAATAAAGATTTCCAAACTACTCACCTGCAGACTGATGATATTCAAACAATGCATGGTAAAAAACATACCAACAGTGAAAAAACCCATGATATAATGAGCATTGTGATCTACCTCTTAGAGTCACATAAGAGCAAGGTAAATATTGAGTGAATATGCCCCATCTATTTCTGATGGAACAGTGTGTATCTACATGTGATTACTGAGTGTTATGTTTGCCTGCATATGAGATTCGGCCTTGTAGGAAAAAAGGTTTGTTTAATCAGCTGATGCAAGCAGGTTATATTTCCCTGGAGAGATATGGAATAATGGATTCAGCTTCTGTCACCCGTTGGATCAGAGTTGTTTGACATCCTTTGTAAACATTTAACATGTCGTGATATCATGTTTCATACTGTTACTGATTTGTTTACTACAGCTTGTTCACATATGTAACCTTTCATGTCTATAAAAGCAAGAATTTAATCTTCCCAAGAAAGAAAAGAAATAGTGTGATAAAGAAAAAGAGAATATAATCTTTGTACATTTCAATCAGTGTTGTTTTATTTCTTTAATAGAGAAAGAACTCAAAGCTGTAGTTTTCAAAAGAATTTTCTCACCCTGGAGGTAGTACTCACTGCTTTGGGGTACAAACATCCCATTTTCACAAATTACCATTTTGTGCATTTTATCTCACTGTTTCTAAGTGGGATTGTGTTAATAAACATGGCATGTTTTGAAAAGTCTTGTTTGGAAACTGTTTGAAAATAAATCAAAGCTGCAGGTGATAACTGGTTTTCAGCCACCCTTGCTTGTCGTATGAACATGTCATCACATCTCAATTGTGTAAAAAATCAGTGCTCACTGGATTGTCTGGTCAAGATTTGATTATGTACAAACTGTGGTAATTTAGTTGAAACATTGCAGAGTGTCATGTTAAACAAACAAACAAAACATAATTAGGTTCACAAGAATGAAATGAGAAAAAGCATGATGTTTTGAAACTCCAGAGAAGATTTAACTGTGAGAATATCCATGACCCTATAGGTATTTTTTAACATATGTTTCAGTTGTGTATATCAAATTGTCATTATAACTAGGGTCAGAGGCATTGTAATGTTCAAATATCACTCTAATTCTCAATGCCTCTAAAATAAGACTATACGACACTTCAGGCATACTCCATCATCATTATTGTCACAAGTCACAAACATGCATTTTTTTCTATTTCTCATTCTTATAAAAGTTTCTGATGATTTTCACACTGATTTGTACCGTTTCCTCATTTCTAAAACTGTGCATGTCCTTTCTGCCAAAAAGGGCCTTTGTCATTACTTGTCCATAAGACCCGTGAAGATCCGGGGTAGAATAGGTCTTCAGCAACCCATTCTTGTCATAAAAGGCGACTATGCTTGTCGTTAAAGGCGACTAACGGGATCAGGTGGTCAGGCTCGCTGACTTGGTTGACACATGTCATCGGTTCCCAATTGCGCAGATCGATGCTCATACTGTTGATCACTGGATTGTCTTGTCCAGACTCGATTATTTACAGACCGCCGCCGTATAGGTGGAATATTGCTGAGTGCGGCGTAAAACTAAACTCACTCACTTGTCCATAAGAAGATGTGTTCTGCATTGGATGAAGGGGTATGATATGATATGAAATGTAATGTCATGGTAATAATTTGTATGGTATTCAGTGACATTCAGTCCTTCTACAGGGACCTAAGTAGGATACGAAATGGGTTGTGGTACCTATGGTGACCACAGATGCATCATGGGGAGATGAATTGTATTGATGGCCAGTCTATTTGTGTATTTGCTAATTATAGAAACTGGTGGATCAGTTCCATGATTACATGCCTTCAAATCTGCTTATTTACACTTCACTCTATTAAATATGCTTCCTTGTGTGTTTCAGGGAAGGCATCTTCTCATGTGGCTAACTTCCTGCTGGCCACAGGCGGCAAGGACAATATGGTCAAGCTGTGGGAGTTCACAGGCCAGATCGGGTCACCGGGTGAGTGAGTTAGTTTAGGTTTAGGTGTACGCTGCACTCAGCAATATTCCAGCTGTATGTCTGTAAATAATTAAGTCAGGACCAGACAATCTCATGATCAACATCATGAGCATCGATCTACACCCCTGGGATACAATGACATGTCTCAACCAAGCCTGACCACCCGATCCCGTTAGTTGTCTCTTAAGACAATCATGGGTAACTTAAGATCAATTCAGACCTGGATCTTCCTGAGTCTCAGGTGCTCAGGTACAACTCTTCTGTTTAGTAGAATACGTTTTTTACATAGCAACTATTATCTAACCCTTACTGTGGAATTATGTCCCTTTTTTCATGACTGTTGCAGTATTTGCTGCTATTTCATTGGTTGACATTTAGACTGCATGGTTGGAAATTGCTTCAGCCATTGCCATGGAGAATTCTTTTGGCAAGTGTCTAGAAAAGGTTGAAGGTTAAGAAAAAAACTAACGAAGGGTTTTGTGGTTACAAATTCTCTTAGACGGGGCCCTATTTTGGTTAAGGAAAATATTTTTGTCAATGTTTTTCCAGTTCATTTTCAATGTGTGGTTTCTGAAGCATGCATGTTTTCATTGGCATGGAACTACATTTACGTTATTTAAGACTTACAAAACGGTTTTTGGATTTTCTCTTCCCTGATCTATCAACAAACGAAAATCCGCATGAAACACAGATATTTGACCTGCAGTATATACGCTTAGGGTTTCTAATGACATGGTTACTATAAGCTTATATTTCCGCAAGATGATTTACCTGAATATTGACAAAAACGCTATTTTCAGCGATTGTTTACTCATTGCATCCTCCATGTGTATCACTCGGAAGCAATTGTGTGGAAAATAGCATTCGGAATCGCTTGAGTTTTTTAGGTAAAGGTTCAAACGGTATGTGCGAATGTGATCTTTCAATTTGGTTAGCTGTGTTCTGATTGGTCAGTCCAAAAGGTTAGCTGACACGACCTTCTACTAGGTTTTGTTAGACTCAGTATAGCAGTGTAACGAATAATACTGAGCCTAAGTTTACTTAGACTGCAGTTTTCAGCTGAAAATAGATGTTCCTGTTGCCATCCCTGTCATACGCTTGTATCAATGGTGTGGTGATCATGTTTTTAGCCACTAGTTTGATTGCTCCAGATGGAATATTGATACCCTGCTTAAATATTACTGACCAAATTTTTATAAAATACTCATTCTGTTGTGTTTTTTTTAAGGCCACACTTACCTTAAATCGAGCTCTATATGTGGGTGTAGAAACTAAACTAAAAATAATGAGTTTGGACCAGACAGGCCAGTGATTGATATTATGAACAATGAGTTCTGCTGTTGGGTAAAATGAAATGTAATTGTGTCACCAAGTCTGAATCTTAGGACAGTAATAGCAGGGTTTTATGCAATACGCAAATGTGCGTCCAGTATGCACAAGTGAAGAGAATTGATGCTGAAAAACAATTCGCTGTGTCCAGACAGACGCACAGTATTATTCACTGTAGCCACGACACATCTATGACTTTGCTAAGTGTTTAGTTCCTTTCAGAGCAGTTATGTGCACCATTTTGTTCATCATTCCACATGATCAATGATTCATTCCATGCTCTAAAGAAATTATCAAAACGTACAGTTCTCTACACTGCTACTTCACAGTTGTGTTGGGAATTGGTTAAAATCTAACAATTGATGATTGGTTCATTACAACCGATCAATCATCGAAAAAAATTGGTAAGCTTGATTTATCAAATTCTCCTGTTTATGTTTGTTAATGCACAAAATATATGGAAAAAACATGTAATTCTTTCGGTGTTTTTTTGCAAATTGCACAAAATGCATTTACAAATTTCACATCTTTAAAGGAGGACTAGCATGTTAGGAACGAAATTTCCTGGAATCTTTAAGATAATTTCAATCATGACTTGTAACGAGCTTGTAGTACTTATGAAATGTAACAGACAAAACCAACCTTATGAAAAATGTTGTTAATGCAAACAAGTGTTCCAAAATTGTTTGTGTTCGATTATGAGAAAACATGCTTGGTCGTTTAGTCATTGCAACCAATCTTCGACTATTTCAATTAATCGGACCACCACTACTTCACAGGACCCTCATATTGCCTGCAAGGACCCTTTAAACTATCGGTAATAAGTTAGGGGTCCCCAGGACCTCCATGTTTGTGTGTCAAGGTAACACCCTTGTGATTGGTAACTGTTACTTGGAACATATTCTACCTCCTTGGTGTACTTCCAGTGGTGCTGCTGAAACTGAGAGACACGCTACCAGGCCACACAGACACAGTCCTTGCCATTGCCTTCTCCCCAAACGGGGACATCTTGGCTTCAGGGTAGGTGGTGTAACTCATTTATGACATATTGTGAATAAAGTGAGGATGAAATATAGAACAAACTTTATGGATAACAACTTCTTTTTATTCGTGAGTGCGACGTAAAAAAAAAAAAAAAAGAACAAAAAAGAAGTTGTTATCCATAAAGTTTGTTCTATATTTTACTTCCCAACTTCTAAAATGACACTCAAAGAAGTTAAAGTGAGGATGGTTTTAGACAGCTTTCAGCAATATTCCAGCAATAATGGTTGGGGACAACAAAAATGGGCTTCACACATTGCATCCATGTTGGGAATTGAACCCGGGTGTTTGGTGTGACGAGCGAATACTTTAACCACTAGGCTACCCCACTGTCCCGGTAGTGAATGGTGAAGGTGTCCTGAATTATGATAACAAATGTCATAGAAAATAGAGACTTATAAACTTGGCAAAGTGTAGTTGGTACATGCAATCATATTTTGGAAGGTTAATGCAGAACTTGATAGTGTTGTTACCCTGCCTGCTGGGGATGTTACAAGTACTAAGTATATTTTATCAGCGAGTGAGTGAGTGAGTGAGTGAGTATGGTTTTACTTTCACTTTAGCAACATTCCAGCAATATTAGGAGAGGACAGCGGAAATGGGCTGCTCAATTCTGCTTTTGGGGAAATTGAACCAGGTGCTTGGGCATGATCAGTTAATGTTTTATCCACTAGGCTACCCTACCACCCAATATTATATCTGAATGGAGTATGTATTTTGAATTGCACCAACTATTATAAAACTGGATTAGTAATCCACACATATGCATGCAGATTGCTATATCACGGTGTTTAAGTGAAACAAGCTAGAGTGTGACATTAAATCACATTCAGTGCTGGTTACATTTTAATGCTTGAAAGTTGAAATTCATTTTTGGTATTCTTGTAGTGTATTGTTCCCAATGGTGAGATGAAATGAGTTATAATGTTGTCTTGAAGATTATTTCACATATATACATTAATGTGCATCCAAGTGTTTGTGTGGGTGCTTGTGTCTGTCAGACTAATGCTGGTTTGATGATTCAAGGCGCACAGAGATACCATGTCACGGTGTAGCATGGATACCCCACTGAGACACAGTATACCCACTGAGCAAACCAGTACTTGATTTGTCTGTTAAAGGAGTGCGCCAGGCAGGGTAACAACAACTAACTTCTTTTGGTATGATGCAGCCATGGATTTAGTCTCATATTCCCTGAACTGCATTATTCTCCCCGCGGCGCGTTAAGCTCGGAGTGGGGGATATAGTATTAGGCTCCGTCCGTCAGTACGTATGAATTGGAATATCTTAAGAACCGTTGAGTAGATTCTTTTCATATTTGGTACCTAGGTTCATCACAGTATGCAAAAGGTCCCAGTCAGATTTGGTGACCTTGACCTTCATTTCAAGGTCACAAGGGGACGTTTTACCCTTGTCAGCAAGAAATCTCAAGAACCGTTCACTGGATTTTCTTCATATTCGATACCAAGCATCATCTAGGGAAGACGCAAGGCCCAGATTTTGGTGACCTTCACCTAATTGTCAAGGTCACAGCGACACTTTGAAGATTTCAGTATGTAAACCTGCATGTTAAGCTTGTCAGCGAGCTAATTCAAGAACCAATCACTGGATTTTCTTCATATTTGACACCAAGCTTCATCTAGTGAATTCGCTGGTCATGCTTTTGTTGACATTTATCTTCATCTTTAACAACAACCTTCACTTTCATTACTTTTTAAGTTTGATTTGATAATTTGCAGGGGGGGATTATGTCACCTTAGTGACAATGCTTGTTTTCCCTTCTGCCTAGCCATGCCTCCTCCCTGCAATGCAATCAAATATGTCTAGATCTCCTCAGGTTCTGATCTCCCATCTCGCTGGGGTTCCTTTTCAATTTAAAAGGAAATGTTTGATTCCTTTCCAGAGACTAAGCATTGGTCTACCAGGGATTGAACTGCTTGCTCTCCAGGTAGACGGCTTATCCTATGCTGACAAAGAGGTTTTCTTGTTATTTTCGCTGAAAGTAGAATATTCATACTATCATCATGGTTATACTCATGTACTCATGAATTCTGATTACAAGTTTCTGGGCCACTTTGGTTAATGCTCCTTTCAGTCAGGATAGGGTTTCAAAATACAAAATGGTATGGTACTGTCATTATTCTTCTTTCATTGTCAGATTGTCAACAGTGTCATTGATTACCATTTTCAGGTCCATTGACAGAACCATACGTCTCTGGAATCCAGTAAGTAATATTAATTCACTTGTTGCCATGGATACATCAAATGATGAAATATGTGCATGGGTTAAGATGCAAATAGTATTGATTCTCTAGCAATGATATTAATTGGGGACTTTGGGCCCCTTCAAATCTTTGAAGGGCATTTAGAAGTGGAATGCATACGGAAAGCAAGATTTATGGATGTCAGCTTCTTTATTGTGAATAACATGACGTTATGGAGTGTATGCTTGCTCCTTCAATAGTGGACATTCTTTAAAAACAGGGACACGATATTGCATGTCTTCTTCAGAAAAATCAAAATCCTTTTTTATGTGAAGTGTTTGAGAATAAAAAACCCAAACAAATGCATCAGTAAAGGGCATGTTTTTCCATCCCAGAAATATCATCTGTTATATATGATAAATAATTTGCTGAATTCTTATGTCAGTGTGGGTCTGTGTTACAGAAACACGAAAATAGTATAAGGCATCAGTTTTATGTTTAATATTTTCTCTTTGCTTTGTTTATAACTGTATGTAGTTCGTGGTATATTGTGTATTTCTGTAAATTCTGAATCTGAGATTTAAGATTGGTTGTTGTCACCTGAAAATGTACATTTCTGAAATGCCAATCATATCCAGCTACATCATGGCAGCCTATAGACAATAAGCTCTAGACCAGAACCTTTGTCGATACTGTGAGCATGGGTGTGATTATATTGTTTCATATATATTTTTCAGCTACAAGGAACTTCCATGTTTACAATTGATGGACATGCAAGGTGATTATCTTCATTGTGAATACATCATCATGAATATATCCTAGATGCTGTTTGTTAGCTGCTGTATGTCACACTCAGCAGTATTCCAGAAGGGGTGAAATGGTATACCGCAGTATTAGTAGAACTGCGTTATTTTGCCTTCGGTTCGGTATACCGTAATGCAATCCAAAAATTCAGTATTTTCAGTTTTTGTACCGTCATTTATTAACATTTCAAAACCTTTTCTAAAATGTCTAGAAATTAAATCATTTTGTCAAATTCTTTGCTAGACGGCCGCTATTTTCCCGGAAGTAAGTTCTCATATACCGAACTGAAGGCCTTGTTCCGCAATACGTACCGTACCGTGGTAAGAGCGCACCGTTTCACCCCTATATTCCAGCTATATCTTGGTCTTGGTCACCGCCCAATATAGTGACAGAAATAAAGGTACCTTACTTGGAAAACATATATCTCCAAAATAAATCTGTAAAGAAGTAACAAGAGAAATCAAGAAATCCAAAAGACAGAACTATTCTTAATTTAGAGTTGAAGCAATCAAGACTTACCCAATCATTCTAGACTTGGGTTGGACTGCTTTTTTAATATATTCTTTAGGTCAGGGTAGCAGACAATTTCATTATATTCATACCTGAATATAACATCTGTGTGTATTTGCTGGTGTAACACTGACTAGGAACCATCATCCTGAACAGTGGGATGTGTCACAGCTGGGGAGGTCATCAGCTCAGACTACAGATAGTGCCAGATGTGTTTTGTAGTGCATTGCTGAAGTACATATGAATTAAACAATGTCAGCATAGACGATTTTCAAATGACAGATGCTCTGGGTAAATATAATTTTGCTAAGTATGACAGTGTCTATCTTTACTTCAAAAAGGGTGAAGCGATGTGGTGTTCAAGGAATGAAACGTGGTGTACAGATCGGTCTAGTGGTCAAGTTGTGCCTTTTGTTTTGGGATATTGTAAGATACTGAAAAGCATCAGTTTTTCCTTCACTGAACTGAGTGAGTGAGTGAGTTTAGTTTTACGCCACACTCAGCAATATTCCAGCTATATGGCATGGTCTGTAAATAATCGAATCTGGACCAGACAATCCTGTGATCAACAGCATGAGCATCGATCTGCGCAATTGTGAACCGATGACATGTGTCGACCAAGTCAGCGAACCTGACCACCCGATCCCCTTAGTCGCCTGTTATGACAAGCATGGGTTACTGAAGGCCAATATTCTAACCCAGACCTTCACGCCTTTTACTGAACTGAAGGTATCCAGTAGCACAATACCAAAATTAGGGAATGTGTGGCTCAACTGTGTCTCCAAATTGCAACAGACAGGGGAATATGTAATCTATCTGATAACTCTTGTTTCATAAAAGCGTAACTGATTTGCAAACTTTAAGCTATCCAGATTGCATAAATGGGTTATTTGGGGAAACAGGCTCAACCCACAAAGCGTTTTTGCATTACAAACTATCATAATTAAATAGTTTATTATAGGCTTACAAATATTGCCATGCTTCTAATGCTTTGTGGATTGGGCCCCGGGCTTATGTCCATTTATTAATATTATTATTTCCAACTTTTAGCAACTCTGTAAGATATCTGCATCATTATACCAGTGTTGTTGAAGTGGATATGTTCTTATTTCAGATATGTGACGAGCTGTGCCTTTTCATTTGATGGCAAGATGTTGGCGTCGGGGTCCAACGACAAGACAGTGATGGTGTGGAAACTGACCGACACCTCTAGCATTATGGGTCAGTGGTTAGCTGTTTGTATCATATATTTAATATTTTCTATCTTTTATGTTATTCAATCTCAATCAAAAAAATTATGGAGAATAGGTCCTTCTGGACAGAGATCAAAGAGGCTTGAGAAATAATTGATATGAGTTTCTTAGTTCACACAGCATAAATACTTGTCATAAGCTATGGACAAAGGTATAGCTTTTATGGACTCTTCACATAACCACGAGCACATCACTTATAAATATTATAACAATTAGGCACATCCTTAAAAAATTAGACATTGGAAGCTATTTCCTTTGAGAAAAAGAACAAGGATTACTTTTACATGCGATGAATGTTTCCTTTGAACTGTCAAATTTACTTAGTTTTTTAAAAAAAATACCAAAGCTCTAAGATTATGATCAAAATCATTATTTGAATTGATGAAATGCTTTACTGCTTCTATTGTTAACAAAACGCTGTCGTTGCCATGGTTAATAGTGAATGAGTGAGTTTAGTTTTACGCCGCTTTTAGCAATATTCCAGCAATATCACGGCGGGGGACACCAGAAATGGGCTTAACGTCATGGTTAATAGAGATTTAAGACATGTTGTAAAGCTTGATGTCAATAAATGAGGAGCCCAACACAACTACCCTCAACATGTGATTACCTGGTATATTAACCTGCTTAACTGCTGTAAGTTTTTGTTCAAAGAAACATTTTTCTTAGGAGAAATGAAGGGTTGAACTTGAAACAAGAAAATCCTCAAATGTCCATGGTTGAGTAGCAGTACATTGATGATAAGATGACAGGCTGACAAATCAATACACTACATTTAATTAATCAAATTAAGTTTGTAGTTGACACTGGTTCCCTGCTATTCTATTGATAGATATGCTCGTGGAAATGAATAAATTTTTCCAGAATTTCACCCACAGTGCAATACAAAGCTTGTGAAGAAACCTGGAAAAGAATAAAGGAACATGTGCTTTCCGGTGTTCCCTTATTCGTTTCCGACTTTCCATGATTATATAATAATAAGAAAGTCACCACCTCTAGTAAGCACACACTGACCATACTTGTATTATCCAAAATTGCTCTTGTTTGAACATGTTGAAGAGCAGTTTATCCATGGAGATCTTTTTATCCAACTATTTTTATGAACATTGCTGCAGTGGTGCTCAAACAGAAAAATGCATGTATCTTACCTTCATGGCTGATAAGCCTCATCTTGTGCTCTTTGTAATACAAGCTTCTTATATCTAAAATGCTTTGGATAATGCATTGGGGGCAGGATATAGGTTATGTCACTGACTTCTAGCACCTTACAGTGAGTGAGTGAGTTTGTTTTACACTGCTTTTAGCAATATTCCAGCAATATTACAGCAGGGACACCAGAAATGAGCTTCACACATTGTACCCATATGGGGAATAGAGTGAGTGAGTGAGTTTAGTTTTACGCCGCACTCAGCAATATTCCAGCTATATGGCGTTGGTCTGTAAATAATCGAGTCTGGACCAGACAATCCAGTGATCAACAGCATGAGCATAGATCTGCGCACTTGGGAACCGATGACATATGTCAACCAAGTCAGCGAGCCTCACCACCCAATCCCGTTAGTCGCCGTTTACGACAAGCATAGTCGCCTTTTATGACAAGAATGGGTTGCTGAAGACCTATTCTACCCCGGATCTTCACGGGTCTGTAGGGAATAGAACCCAATGATGATCAAAACTTGAACCACTCAGCTACCCCACCAACCCAAGCGAGCACCTCACAGTCAGCATGGATTGTATAATTCCAAGGGAGATGAAAAAGAAAATTGAGTGCACATTGATCAGGGTAATAATGGTGTTAGCTCTTCAAGCATGCTGTGTCCATTTTTATTACTCATCTTACAATAATAATAGACCTTTATGAGTAACCATGGTAACAGTATCAAGATGTTTGCAGCTGGTCTTTCTGGATTTGAAGAACCAGTGAAACAGACACAGCCGTCGACGGCATCAAACTTTGTACCCATGGAAAAGTGGGGCGTGGAGGAGGTGTGTGCCTGGATTACCTCCCTTGGATTGCAGCAGTACCAGGAAGTGTTCAGGCAACAGGCAATAGACGGAACAGAGTTACTTGCCCTTACTGCCAAAGATCTGGAAGAGTCAATGGGAGTTGGTGAGTTGGTATTCTGTTGGTTGTCTCATGTCTTTTGCAGAAATTATCACATTAAATTGTAAAATTTGTATTTGTTGTTTAAAGCACTCGGCAATATTCCAGTAGTATGACATTGGCCTTTATATTATCACCCCCAGACCAGACACTCTAATGATTGATGTCATGAGCGTATCAAGGTATGCCTTTGTGATACAATGTCATCCTGATCTCTCAAATCACCTCTAACAACAAGCATAGGTCGCCGCGGACATCTATTCTTGCCAGGATCTTCAAGGGGAAAAATATTACATGTATCAAAGTTTGGCCTCCACGTATTCAGACTGGTAACATTATATTCCTTGTTTTAGCCGCCCTCGGTCACAGGAACAAGATTCTGAGAAGTCGAACTCATGTACAAGAGCGTCCTATAGGCCAGACAGTAGAAAATGGTAGGTGTAATGTGCATTCACAGGGGCGGATACAGCTTTTTGAGAAGGGGTGGGGGTTGCACACTATTGGGTAAAGGAGGGGTGCACACTTCATTTTCACCCGAGTTTCAATGGTCATTTAACAAACTTTCAGCACAAAAGGGGGATGCGCACCCCTGCACCCCCCTCTGGATCCGCCTATGATTCAGTTTGAAAAGAGGAGGAAAAAATCTTAAATGCAGTGTTAGCATATTCTGTCAAGCATGTCAAATGCAATTTGCAAGATCAATACAAGATAAATGAACACAGCAACAGCAAAATGTGGACCCCCCCCATCTTCTAATTTACTTTTTCCTCCATACATCTATAAGTGCATTAAATGTGAATATTTAAGTATCTATTGATTTCAAATTGATTGAAATAAGTATAAAGCATTAAAATCTTGTTCATAAGAATTGTTTTTGTTGAATGAATTGGGAAAGCATTGACTATGTTCTTTGATGCATTTATCTGTATGGAAGTATGATCTCAAGTAGATGCATTTTCAGACCAATTTCCCATGACTGTATTGTAGACGCTGGAGTACCTGATGAGTACCTGTGTCCCATCACAAGGGAGATAATGCACGACCCTGTTATTGCTGCAGGTGAGACCTCTTGAGGGTGGCCATTCTGAATGCTCAGACTGTAACATATGCATTGATTACTCATATACTATGATCTTAATCTCAATGATGCACTTTTAATTCATTCTGTATGGATAAAAGGTATCGATTGATAAGTTCTGAGCCCCACTTAGAAAGAATTGCATAATAGTGAAATCTTCCAGCTAAATAGCGGCTCTTATTCTGAGAAATGCTTATTGTACGTTTCGGGAGATCAATCCTAATACTTCATGTTGTTTTTTTGGCTGTTGTAATTATGCCACACTCGGCAATATTCCAGCTATATTGTGGTGGTCTGTAAAGAATCAAATCTGGACAAGAGATCAACCGTATGAGCATCGATCTATGCAATTGGGATACGGTGACTACACGATCCCGTTAACATGGGTTCCTGAGGACCAGGGTGCTGTTCCACTAACCGATCTTAGGCCGATCGTAGCCGGTTCCGATCTTACGATCTGATCCAAGCTTAGATCGAGAGATAGAGAAATGCGAGGCATGAGATATCTCCCCTTGCATAGTCTAGCGGACAATAGAAGTAGTTGTATCTTTTTGTTTCAGAACATGTTTACTTCATGACCTGTCCCAATTCTTAACCATGACGTTGCAATATTGTTGTACATGTATTACACCGATTCCCTGGGCTGTGTTCCCATGACGACAGTGGTCAGACTAGCCTCACATTAGTTTGTAATGCTTCAGTGCAGTGTTTGTTTACATCACAGAAACAAACACATTCATTTCATTGGGCATTTAGGGGACGCCACGGTGAAATGCTCGCTCTTCTTCTTCACACAGAATATGAAAGCCACCATTTTGGTTTCTCTACGATTGATTTTAGCGATCCTAAGTTGGTCATGACCAACTTAGACTTTGGATCTTAACTTTACAATTGACTTGGGTAAGATTGGTTAGTGGAACGGTATGCCGATCGTAACGTCATGCTAAGATTGGGATTTTAGGGTTTTATGATTGGCATAGGGCTAAGATCGGTTAGTGGAACAGCACCCACTTCTCACCCGGATCTTCATGGGTTGTCTGATTATGAATGAATGAGTGAGTGAGTTTAGTTTTATACCGCTTTTAGCAATATTCTAGCAATATCACGGTGGGGGACACCAGAAATTGGCGTCCCACATTGTACCCATGTGGGGAATCGAACCCGGATCTTCATTGTTTCGAGTGATTGCTTTAACCACTGGGCTACCCCGATTATGAATGATTGTGTAGGTTGTACTTCCTGACTCTAAGATAACTACACATTACCATTATCATGTTTTATGTGAGTCAAAGATACCAGTGTTGACCAGGAATATTGGAAATACGATATGTTTTGGTAATAATAGTGGTACAGTTTACTGGATCTTTGATAGGAATTTAGAAGTTGAAAGAACACAAAGCCTTGAAATTTTATAGATTTTATCATATAGTAAAGAAATCATCCCCTGCGGTTTCATGTTTTGGGGTTTAATGTTACATACCATTATCAATTATCAATTCTAGTTTACATCATTCTTCAGCAACAAGTGTATTTGTTTTATGGGTTTTTAGACATTTAAGAAACATTCATTGTATTCTTTCTAATCATGAATAAGTGTAAAGCATCTCACAAATTTATAAACGATAACTTTATCTTATCAAGAATTTACAATGTCTGTGTGACACAAAACCTCAAGCTATATCCAGGTATTAGAAAGTAACATATTTTCTCTCCTAAACTATTACAACATATTATCTTCAGATGGCTACACATACGACAAATCTGCAATCAAATCATGGATTGAGAGTGGCAAGGATCGGAGCCCAATGACCAACTCTCTGCTACCTAGCAATAACCTGACACCGAACAGAACTCTGAAGATGCTGATCCAGCGCTTTGTGAATGGTCACAGCCAAGGTTGACCACAGGTCATTTCAATATCTTCTATTCTGTCCAAAATAGTTTTGTGAATAATCCAAATTTTTATTTGTTGATCTGATAGTTAATGAAGCCAGTGTCTCCATTCATCATGATATATTTTAAGTACATGTTTACCATAGCAACGTAGGTGTTGTCTGTGTTGTGTGTTGCTGTGTTCATAAACCATAGTTTATTGCTGCAAGAAATTATACAGATCTTCATTCTGTCTGGGTTCTAGGTAGTTATATGTCCACACTTCTCAGTGTCATAGCAATGCATATTCAGAAAATAATTACAATTTCCGTTTAATATGTCCATTGTTGTGTATAAAGATACTTTTCTGATGTATATATTTTCGCTAGGTTCATGTTGTTGTTTGAAGGGCAAATATTTATGTTACTGTGCACTTAAATATTATTGATTTGTTGAATTTAAAGTTTGTTTCAGCCATTAGAGGGGTGGTGGGGTAGCCTAGTGGTTAAAGCTCTTGCTCGTCATACCGAAGGCCCGGGTTTGATTCCCCACATAGGTACAATATGTGAAGCCCATTTCTGGTTTCCCCGTTGTAATATAGCTGGAATATTGCAGAAAGCGGCGTAAAACTAAACTCAATTCAGCCATTTGACCGTACATAGGTTTTCTGGGTGTCCCATCCCGTCAGTGTTAAATGTTCATATCGAAGTGATATTGTAATTTTACTGTATATTTCCCCAGTTCTGTGAAACATTATGTATTATTGTGATAAAAAATACCACTATGCTAGTGTGCACTCATTAAAACAAGTCACCTTGATCTTTCATGAAATATGTTTATTAAAAATGTGCTTCCAAAGCGGAGTGACTCGATGTTCATCATAAACTAATTTAAGATTGATACCATTTTTTATTTTAACATTAAAAGTTCCTTAAATAATTTACACAATTAGTTATAAGCAGTTTTTTTCCATTTTTGTTTGCTTGTCCTTTCTAGAGTTTGTCGAGGTTAGAGATGAAAAACATATAAAATAATATTGTCTCTTGATGGTTGTGTATCTCAGTGGATGGTGCACTAAGAATTATCCATGTTTTTCTCTACTCGTAACCATGATAGATTTAAGTAATAGCTTGTCCTGTGTCCACCTGTTTCAGCACCTATGATAACTTCTTAGTAGTAAGTTATAAAATACATCCCTATCCAATAAATCTAAATAGGCATTTCAGCAGTTTTTGGTATAAGATGTTGTTAATACTGTATGAAATTGTTTAAATTTCCAAATTGGATTATTAAAAATAAACAATAACACCAATGGTCTTACCATTCTTCAAAAATATGTTGAAGAGAATTACATTTTGACAACAGTCTTCCATATGTTATTTCAGTAAGTTACAAAAACTAGATTTATACCGAAAGTCAAGGTTTTATCTGTTTAATTTCCATTTCATTTTTGCCTAAGAAAAATATATTTTTAAGAAGTAATATATGTTGACAATATTCCTACATAACAGATGAATGAAACCGTTATTGACACTGTGCTGTTTCATACTGTTGTCTCCTCTTTTTCTGAAGTCAGTTCACAGTTGGTTCTCTGTCAATGACTTACAAACGTTCTGCTGTAAATGGACAGGTTTCTCCATAGCTTAAGTGTGTGTGTAAGTTACCTTAATGACTTTCAATACTATATGTAAGAAAATGATGAAATGCTCTCTTGCAGGGCTGTTAAGCTGGACAAGTGTTGCCAGGGAACCTGTGATATATATTTTTGACTGTTGCTCAAGTCATTTCAGTGTAAAAACTACTTTATTCCATTTATGTTAATAAGAGAAGAGTTATAATGGCTGTTTTCAGTGATATTGTGTTTTGTTGTAATTCTGTGATTGCTTAATATTTGAATTTAAGTGTGTTATAGTTAAATTATTCATTAAAGTTACAGTTTTTAATTGTGTTGAACTGTTGGTCATGGTTATGGTTTCTTTTTTGTATGCTTGTTTCTCATTCTGAAAGATAAAACATGTGATTTCCATTATGTGTTTAAGGATGTCTGTTTGGTTATATTAGAAGCATTAACTATTAGTCTTTATCTTTTCTTTGTCTTATTTCATTATTAGTCGATATGTTTCACAGACTGTGTTTTTATTATCATTTGTCAGCACATTATGGTGCTTATGAGCACATTGTGATGCTTATGAGCACATTGTGATGCTTATGAGCACATTGTGATCCTGTAAGCACATACTTGTTGGCACAGTGTGAGGCTTTTTGGCATGTGCTTGAGAGCACCTTGTTCTTTTGAGCACATATTGATGCTTGTCAGCACTTTTTTAATGCTTTTTTGCCTGTCAGTACCTTGTGGTCCTTGTGAACACATGGACCTTGTCAGCACTTTGTACTCCCTGCAACACATTATGAACCTTGTAAGCACATTGTGCTCCCCACAACACATTATGAACCTTGTGATCACATATGTCAGCACCTTCTGATTCTTGTCATCACATTGTGCTCCCCACAACACATCATGAACCTTGTCAGCACATTGTGCTCCCCACAACACATTTTGATTCTTTTCAGCACATTGTGATTCTCCTTGTGAGCCTACTGTGCTCCATCTTCAAATCATTATGATCATTTGTCAGTACAGCACCCATACCCTGCTCATGGGTTCACTAAAAGTGGAAACCATCTTGCCTTGTTTCACACTGGGCTTTTCTGTCATGCTGAACTGACCATGCACACAACTCAAATTCTGTTCAACCTAGTTTGAACTCAACTAATCAAAAAAGAGAGAGACAAGTTTAGTCATACTCTTAACTCATCATTTGTTCATATGTTTTTACAAATATACATGAAAATGACTTCTATGAAATTATTTGTAGATTGTTGTATCATGACAATTCAGAGGCTTGATAAATTTACATTTTCCTCCATTTCAAAATATTGTTTTTTAGTTGTTGTAGCTCAGTGTAAATAGTGGAATGATAATATGTTCCTAGCATTGCATTCTGCATTGAGATGTTTTATTGACCAATAGTGAACTTAAGAAATTGCATACATTCACTTGTTGCATTTGCCAAACATGTCATAGAGTTGGAATGAATTTAGTTTGTTTGTACCTGCTTATCTTTATGACTAATTGACGATTTCCAACCAAAAACGATTGTGTGAACATGCACCAAGACATAATAGTTCAGCAGGAAAATGATGCACACAGTAACAGACATCCTGAAGACCACTTCTGTGGTGTGGTGGATGGTAGTGTCTGCTCAGAGGACAGAAGGTCATGGTTTTGATCCATGGCTGCGTCATACCGAAATATGGTATTCCTTGTTACCCAGCCTGGTGCTTGGCATTAAGGGGACAAAATAAGGACAAGTTGTCTTGGATGACAGTACGCTATGTCGTATGGGAGTGGGATAAACCCCTGAAGATCAGGGTTAGAATTGATCTTCAGCAACCCCTGCTTGTCGTAAGAGGCGACTAACAGGATCGGATGGTCAGGCTCGCTGACTTGATTGACACATGTCATTGTATCCCAATTGCTCAGATCGATGTTTATGCTGTTGATCACTGGTCTAGACTCGATTATTTACAAATCGCCGCCATATAGCTGCAAAATGCTGAGTGCAGAGTAAAAGTAAACTCTCTCATTCACTCTGGTTGGGATATCTTTGTTCATATGAGGCGAAGTGTCTCAGTAGGCTTGCGCTGTAAATCCAGTGGTCGACATAATGAGCACAAGCAGCTAAACCACATCGCTTTAATATGTCTTCAACATAAAATTAAAACCCACTTCACCTCATCATATTTCACATCCTTAATGTTTATAATAATTCACAAGAACCTGTTCCTAGATAGAGGTGTCCACTGTCAGCTTGAATGTAAACTTTTAAAGTAATCTGTTGTATACCCATGGAATCCAGTGATCCTATGATGTTGGGTAACAAAGGACCACCTTTAAATGACGTGAGTAGAAGTGTATAATCATCTTGCAAAAATTAATGCATTTTGTTGGAGCTGTATGTATCAAAGTATTGACGTTTATTAATTAATGGCATTGGTTGTCGAATGTGAAGAAGTTGAGGTGATACTGTTTTTCTTGTTCTATGTGTCCCATCTAAGAAAGTACCAGTAATAATCACTGTGTTACCTGAAGTGACCAGTGTTGCCAAAAATGCCTTATTTTTTAATGATTAATTTCTATTTTGTCATCATTTGTTCTGTCTGGCATTGAGAACTGTACATATACCTTGTTGTTAATTGTTTCTTCCCCATATGGGTACAATGTGTGAAGCCCATTTCTGGTGTCCCCCGCAGTGGTATTGTAAAACTAAACCCACTGTTATTTCTTTCTAACTTTGATGTAACTTTGTCTTTGTATGTGTTTGTTTTGATTGTATCACATAAATGACTTCAAATTTCTTTTTAACCTGTGTCAACTTTGTTTCCATATTTATACTGTAATATATGGAGTACTACAATGTTATTATTTTGTTAACAAGTAATACATTTTCTCTTATACCAGAGACCATATAATATTATTATATGGTCTCTGCTTATACCTTGTTAATCCTGGCCATGATCTGTGTGGTGATTCCAGGTCAGATTTGGTCATCACTAACTTATGATGGATGTGATCTGGTTTTCTGAATCAGTTACTTCTTTGATGACAAAGTACCCCAACGAGTAGATAGTTGTCCATAATATCAATGACTAGATTTTCATAATATGGTTGGGAAACTGAGTGTAAGCACACATGCATACACATACACATTCATAGACATTTAAAAATGCGCACACACACAAACACACACACACACACACACACATGCATAACTCATTAAGACCCATGGTAGGATCGGCCTTCAGCAACCCATGCTTGTTGTAAAATGTAAAAATTGACTAATGAGATCAGGTGTCAGACTCGCAGTCTTGGTTGACACAAGTTATCGTATCCCAATTATGTTAATCGATGTTCATGTTGTTGATCACTGGATCGTCTGGTCCAGACTCGATTGATTACACAGACCGCCACAATATAGCTTGAATATTGTTGAGTGCAGCGTCAAACAAAATCAATCATACTGTTGATCACTGGATTGTCAGATTCAGACTCGAGTATTTACAGACCTCCACCATATAGCTGGAATATTGCTAAATGCGGTGTTAAACAACAAACAAACAGCATATACAGATCAACAACAACATGCTTTGAGACAGAGAAATCACTATGTTATTCAGGGCTTATTTTCCATTCATTATTCAGTAATATATGCGATCATATGTTGATATGCACTGATGAGCATATCGTTTATGCATCTTTCACATTTATTACAGACAGACACACATGCACTCAGACATACACACGAACAGACACACCCATACCCTCACCACCCAAAATGTGGAACATATGTTATTCAGGGCTTATTTTCCATTTATTATTCAGTAATACATGTAATGATATGTGATATGCACTGATGAGCATATCGTTTATGCATCTTTCACATTTATTGCAGGATAGGTTCACAGTCGATTTCCTTACAAAATGTATCAGCTGTTGATCATTTTATAATATACTGATGTGATCATGTGACCTATTTTTCACTCCAAGTGTGTAAAATAATATTGCAGCATGCCAAGTGAAGCGTTATCTGGATTGATGTAAAGAATTAGTAATGTGAACATGTAAAAATGTATTTGATATTTTTTATAATGATAATGTCCTTCATATGAACAGCAGGGGTATGTTACAACATTATTGGAGAACAGTGATGCAGAACATTTTATAGTCCAGATCAAAACAAATGAAACAATCCAGACCAGAATATTGGCATTGTCACACCATTCAAGATTTTATATTACCTGATATTGTGCTTGTGTTCCCTTGTCATTTTATAGATAAGTGCATTTTTAATAAATATCTTTGATAATTGATTCATTGTTTATTTATTGAATACAATAGCGTTCTGCAAGTTGCAGATGAATATTTATTGAACTATTGTAACAGTAGAGAAAAGGTATGTCCACCTTTAATTCACCTCCTTATCAACGTGATAACAGAATGTGATACGGAATCTGATACGTGAAAAATACTGTCACGTCAAAATAAAGCAATAAAACCCTGTCTATTATAAGAAATGTCTACTTCGATTCCAAATACCCCTGGTTATGTCTGCACTATCACCAGGGCGATTGGGTAGCCTATAGGTTAACGCCACATGGTTACAATGCGTGAAGCCCATTTCTGGTAATAGCAGCGTAAAGCCATGCTCATTCACTCACTGCTCTGGCACCGCGCCCGTAGGTTAATACAAAATTAGGAACTTCTTAGACCTGCATCACTTCGGACACTATGGAATAATCACCAAGCTTATACTTCGATACAACCGTACCTGCGACACACCAAACTTGGAGACAGCAATGTGTGACTGTATGGTGTTTCTATGGACGCTATTCTATACTCATATGTCAACATGCCATAATATTCTAGAGCGCATAAATACAATCGAATAAATGGAATGGAACTGATAGGGTTCTTTGTGCTCAGTATAATATTTCGTTATAAAAAGCACGGCTGGCAGGCAGACACATGTGCATCATGTAATCACACTGCGGAACAGGTACATAATCGTAGCGCCGGGAGTGTTTATAGTCGTCAATACCGCTACAGGGTGCTGTTGTACAAAGCAACCACAGCGCTAAGCCAGTCGTAAGTCTATGTTAAGGTATGGGAGTAACGATCACCTTAACGCTAAGATTGATTTGTACAACGGCACCGAGGTATCTAGGAAATATCTGAAATGGAAGTCAACCGTTACACGTCAAAAGCAAAGTTGTGAGTGAATAAAATACATTATATGGACCTACAGCTTGCCAGTAGAAAATGATAGTGAGATCACTAATGATTTGTGCTCTGATGTTTTTAAGTTGTATCATTATAATATTTCGATTATATATTTACAACATGAAACAGGTCTGTAGTCACTACTATCAAACCAGACCCGTGAAGGTCCGGGGGCGGTGGGGTAGCCTAGTGGTTAAAGCGTTGGCTCGTCACGCCGAAGACCCGGGTTCGAATCCCCACATGGGTACAATGTGTGAAGCCCATTTCTGGTGTCCCCCGCCGTGATATTGCTGGAATATTGCTAAAAGTGGCGTAAAACCAAACTCAGTCAGTCAGTCGTGAAGGTCCGGGCTAGAATTGGTCTTCAGTAACCCATGCTTGCCGTAAGAGGCGACTGACAGGATCGGGTGGTCAGACTCCCTGACTTGGTTGACACATGTCATCGTATCCCAGTTGTGTACATTGATGCTCATGCTGTAGATCGCTGGATTGATTGGCCGACACTCGATTATTTACAGACTGCCGCCATATTTTATAACAACATTACCAAGGAACAATATATACGCGAAAAGACAATAAAAATGTTTTATTGCTCCTCAAATGCTGAATGCATGTTTCGTTCGTCAGACAGCAGTGTGAAGTAAGGCTATACATGACAATGACGTCATCTGTCGAGTGAGTTTATAAATAGTTTTCTGCCGTGTAATTTCCAGGCCAACGTATTCCTCGAGAAAACATTACATGAAACACACTCCCTTGTCTGGCCCATACTCGATCACTGACAAGCTGCGGTCATACATATTTCTGAATGAGACGTAAATAACAACAAAGACACGACTGCATTTCAGCCAATACAATTACAGCGTATGCTGACTATACAGAGAAAAATACTATTTTTGTAAATACATAGAATTCCATGTATATTAATAATGTTAATTAAATTAATTAAAGTCATGGTGCTGCGCACATAAGGTTCGTTTATTGATTTATCGCTATCAGTTATGCGGCAAGAAATATAAATACAATTTGTCATTTGAATATGCAAATATACCGTTTATGAACATAGAATGTTGTCCTATAAACGTAACACGACACGGATAGTGTGTCCAAAGTTAACGCCATTATGTTAAGTCTAAATACCTTATAACTATCAACGAACTATAGTTATCTAGAACCAAATATAAATACGTAATAAATAGTAACATTTGACATAAAATACACAATGCCATTTTAGAAAGTGGTCAAATGTAACATATGTTATATTTGGGAAATATAATATTATATAATATAAGATGTTTAGAGGTCGACTGTCCTCACAGACCATTCGAAATCGGTTGCGGGCTGCCAATCTCCATTCTCGACGTCCCTATCGTGGGCCAATATTGACGCCGTTTCATCAACGTCAACGTCTGCTGTGGGCCCAACGTCACCTCCGATGGACCCAGAGACTGGAATCGAGTCGTCTTTAGCGATGAATCCAGGTTTACCCTCAGATTCGCGGACGGCAGGCATAGAGTCTGGAGACGACGTCGTGAACGGTATGCCCAATGTTGTGTACAGGAAGTCGACAGATTCGGGGGCGGAAGTTGCATGGTGTGGGGTGCTTTCTGTGGGAACAACCGTTCCCGACTTCTGGTCATCCGTGGAAACCTCACAGCTGCTGCTTACCGCGACCAGGTGCTCACCCCTGAACTCGTTCCTTTCATGGCGGCTCATGGCCCAGGTCCACAGTTCCAGCATGATAATGCTCGGCCGCATACCGCGACGTTGACACGAAATTTCCTTCAAAATACATATGTTACATGTGACATAAGATCTCCAATTACATTTTACAGAACATGTGACGTTTACCATGCTCGGCTTTATCTTTGTATCGATCATGCAGATATAATTGAACACAGTGTTTTAAATTTAGTCTATGCATTTATATTTTGGTTGTTGTAAAGAGTATATATTTAATGCATAGTAAAATATATGTTGATATTCTTATGTCTTCATCATTTTAGTTTCCCAACTGTCACTATCTTTTTGGAGACAGTATATCAGTTCTATAAACCAAGACCCCCTACATGTATTTATATAACTAAAACCAGGGTGTGCGGTACATGTAACAAATTAATGCTTGATATTTTGAAATCATACCATTTCTGAAAGCCGTAACAATATCTTCTGTGTTGTTTTCCATGATTCGTGTCATATACAGAATACCCTACACACCTTAAATGTTGGTTTGTTGTTTATCGCAGCACTCATCAATATTCCAGCTATATGACGGCGGTCAGTGAATGATAGAGTTTAGATCAAACAATCCAGTGATCAACAGCATAAGCATCGATCTACACAACTGGGATACGACATTTGTCAACCAAATCAGCTAGTCTAACCACCTGATCCCGTTAGTCGCCTCTTACGACAAGCAGGGGTTGCTGAAGACCAATTCTAATCCGGATCTTTACGGGTTCATAAATGCACATTTATGAGAATCAAACAATGTTATAAAGAATCAAGTAGGTTAGATATCAACAAGAAGGCCAGTTTAAGTTTATTTCAAACAATTCTCTTTTCTACGTGCCATGTTTATATATATACAGCAGCAACTATACAAAACAAAATATAGAGTATATTAAGAATTACATAAATGTTTGATCTCATTGTAGTGTCTCAGTTCATTAGTGGTACGTATACAAGTGTCTGAAACCACTAAGACATTTATTCCTCAAATAATATTTGAAGCAAATGCTAAAAAACTTTCTCAGTTTGGTTGATTAAGAAAGAAGTCATCCAGAAATGTAATAATGTCTTTGATTTTGCTTGGGTCCCACTGCGCTATTTTCACAATGTAAGACATATTTTGCTCTGTTCTCCAACGAACATGATCGGAGAGGTTCCTGATCCTTTGAAGCACTTTGACATCGTTGAAAAAGCTTTGATGATTTGCCGTAGGATGAAAACCGTTTGGGATTTCAATCATTTTGTTTCTCAGAAACCTGTCAATATATATCACTTGGGCAACGTCTCCTTTTTCTGCCACTGCTAACAACGACAGTAATGCTCCTTCAGTGAAGGAACCCCAAGGTTCTTGTATTGTGTTCACTGCAGCAAGCAAACGTTCAAGATGGAAGTAGTCATTAGGCTCAGTGTGAGGGTGTAGGCTTTTAATATTGCCTAGATGGTCAGATCCAGGTCTTACTTTGTTGGAATGTTCTTTAGCTGCAGACTCAGCAGTCACATTGGTGTCTTCTTGAAGTAATGTGATTGGTATTTGGTTTTCATGGTTTTGAGATGGATTTGCCACCAGGTTTCCGCCATTGGAGCCATTCGCATCCTCTTGGTGTATGAAAGCTCTTTTTGAATTGGTCGGGTGCAAATCTTTACCGTCGGTGATGTCGTGAGAGGAGATCTTAACCTTCCCCTGAAGAGTGATGTCTGACGGGGACACAAGGATAAAGTCATCGACTTCTTCGCAGCTGTAACTGCCTTCATCAGTGTCAGGTTCAGATGTGCCAGGGTTTGAAGAAAAGCTGTCTTTAAGCCACTCCCAGAGGCCGATATCAGGCAATGCCTGACAAAATAAGAAGATGCTATTTTAGGCAGTATTTGAGGACGGCCATCGAGGTATTTTTCGATAATATCGAGATCAAGAAAGTACTAATGCTTATAATGGTGTATGACGTTATAACGAAATGTGACGTTATGTAATATATAGAAAGTATATTGTTGTATTTATGAAAGAATACTTACCACGCCAATTGTAGGTCGGTATGAAGATGATGAACGGTCTTCCTGAATACCTGCTGATAGAAAGGTAAGCATGATTAATGTCCTTTCTTGATGTGATCATTTGCTACAGAGATTGTAACATGGCTTTGTGCATATCAATACGTACCATCTTCTGTTGTCACTAGACAGACCCTGTTAGTCAACAGCCTGCTGTGCATTTAAGAAGTGATGGATATATGGATGGAGTAGAACACATATGGTATGCAGACTGTGTAAAGCACTTACTTGATTTCGTCCCTTTGGGAACTGACGTTTCGGATCCATCACATGGCGTTCCCGTGCCACCAATCTTAAGGACAGAATTCGAATTGTCCTCTGTCAGCTGTGAGGGCATATTTGGGTCATTTCCATCTGGGCAGCCCAGTTTGATGTCCACACCCTGACTTGTCACTGGAAGAGGATTTTGTCATACTTGTTTCCGAAGCTTATCATGTCATATGTGTTTTGTTTGTTTGTTGTTTAACGCCGCACTCAGCAATATTCCATCTCTATGTGACAGCAGTTTGTAAATAATCAAGTCTGGACTAGACAATCCGGTGATCAACAACATGAACATCGTTCTACGCAATTGCAATACGATGTCATGTGTCAACCTAGTCAGCGAGCCTCACCACCCGATCCCGTTAGTCGCCTCTCTCGACAAGCATTGGCTGCTAAAGAATATGATATATGCATATCAACACATTTCGACGGTGGATTTTAAATTACAAATTGTCGCTTTTTAATCTACCCCGGCACCGAACTGGTATGTTGACAATCAGTTACTTACAGCTAATTTCAATGGTGCCAACTGAAGCCTTTCGACCAGAATGGTTTCCTTTTTCTGTATCTGAAACCAGAACATATTCATGTCTCAAGTCGTTGTTTAATGTTAAGTGTGTGAGTAATTTATATTTTACGATATTTATTAATCAGTATTCTGGGTGAGTGATGTAGGAGATAAACATACTGTGTTGGAAAATCAGACGTATATAACGTGATTATATCTCTGAATGACTTTCATTACCCAATCACAATCCAGTATTCGCAGAAGTCATGGTAGAATTTGGGCTAATGTGTTAAAGAGTTACATCAATGACATCTTAATATAGGAGGAATGCACGTTTGGTGAGACACCAGTAACCCTGGAACATCTTAAACATGGTCTGCAAATCAAGATGCCTGTAATACCTTAATATAACTGGGATACAGTTCAAAACGGTGTTAATCTCTAGTCACTCACTCACTTTACTATAAAACATATTTCATGATTAAACCAAATCGCGAGATTAATATGGTCCTTACCATTGTCACATATTCTGGTTTCTTTGGCACCCGAGGAGTTGATGTAAAAATCTGTGGAAGAAAGTTTCGGTTTAGATACGTATACCGTTTTCAAGCATGAAACGTGGCAATTGTACAATAAAGAAGTTGATCATCCATAAAGACTTGTCATTCCTAGCCATATTCTTGTCATAATATTCTCACTGCATGGTTTTACAACACGCACTAAAACATACCAACAAAGCCCTGTTCCCGATCTTAGTGCTGAGGTGATCGTGATTCTCATACTTTAACATAGACTTAGGGTAGTCTTAGTGAAGGATACCTTAGTGTAACGGTGCCCAGGTCGATGCATTTTGACTGCTACATAAAAGTGAGTTTGGATTGTTTACAAAATATTTAATTATTATTGACTGTGTAAATAATGATACAACCATTGATTATGATGGTAATACCTTGAACAATGGCTTACATTTGAGGATTGTATGTTTGAAAGAATTACATAAATTTCCTCAGATCCTCTATGAGATCTCCAGGGAGCAGATATCTGGATGACACTTGTAGGAGGAAGGAAAGAAATGAACGTTCTTACTGCATGTTGCGGCATGAGTCGTGTTGATACCCCCGTGTACGATGCCGGCGGCGTTGCAGTAAGACAAGCTGCTGTTGCATGCCCCTGTAGCCGACAAGAGTTCAAGATGATCACTGCATTGCTTCCCAGTGTGGCTGTCAGCTGGAAGACAGTATGTGTGAAAGGACACTTACATAGTGAGTGCGTTTGGTTTTACGCCGCACTCAGCAATCATCCAGCTATATGGCGGCGGTCTGTAAATATTCGAGTGTGGACCAGACAGTCCAGTGATCAACAGCTAAAGCATTGATCTGCTCAATTGAAAAAGTATCAAGATCATTTGTAATACATGAGCATTGTCATATAGAAAGTTGAAAAACGTTGATGTGTAATGAAAAATAACCATATCTATCTATATCTATATGTATGTATGTATGTATGTATGTATGTATGTATGTATGTATGTATGTATGTATGTATGTATGTATGTATGTATGTATGTATATATATATATATATATATATATATATATCTCTCTCTGTGTCTCTCTCTCTCTATATATATATATATAGCTTTAGGTTACAGAAGTAGGTCATATGATATTGTGTTGTCTCGTCTCGACAAAGTCCAATGACATGCGCCAAGGCTATAGTGATCGGGACTAGGTCATCGATAATAGATTACCTCTGAGACATGACTGTGCACATGAAGTCACCATTACAAAGTGTTATTATTGTATGGACGTGTTGCACAATGGATTCAGTTTGGTATTAGGTAGTAACATACTTAGTTTCACAGGTCAACACTATACTGTATAGCTGCGACATCCATGGCTTAATACTAATATTTTATCTTCCTCCGTGGTTAGATTTCTGGGTTATCAGCGTAACCATTATCAGCAGTTTGTATGAAGATCCGGGTCAGAATTGGTCTCATGCTTGTCGTAAGAGGCGACTAACGGGACCGGGTGGTCAGGCTCGTTGACACATGCCATCGTATCCCAATTACGTAGATGGATGCTCATGCTGTTGATCACTGGACTGTCTGGTCCAGACTCGATTATTTACAGACCGACGCCACATAGCTGGAATATTGCTGAGTGTGGCTCGCACTAAAAACTAAAACTCTTTCTTTGAATACATTTGGTATACTTGCTAATAAAGAAAGGTAAGTGTCCCGTTTTATGAAGAAACAAACTGTGTTGATCATTGACGGGCGCTGTGGTATGAATCAGTTTTATAATAGACATTTGCGAACATATTACCTTTGTAATTGGAGCTCTCGTTACATCCTTTGTCATCATCAGTATTGGCCCCTACGGGGGCACATATGACTGAGGGTTGATATGTTCTATCCATTCTGAAAGGAATATCACACTACCAATTAACGTATGACGATCCATATGAAAATGGATCAAATAGTCCTTGAAAATAAGTCACAAAAGTGGAGTTTCTCATATATAAACTACGGTTATCACGAACTCAAATGACTGCTATTGTTATGACAATAACTACAACATACAGAAAGCAGCCGGGACTACAGTGAGTAATGAGCGTGTTCCTTGTTAATGTGTATTCATCTGTCTGTAAGTTGAGCCTCGCTTGGGATCCCTGTTCCTTGGTTGGTGCTGTGAAAGTTATACAAGAACGAAGTTCTGTTTACTTATAATATAACGTCCATTGAAGAATACGCCATTTAATAACGAAAAGTCAACCCACCTTCATGTATTATTCTGTAGTCGTCCTGGTCGGCAATAGGGATGTCGATAGTCATCTGTACCTTTCGCCTTTCACAGACAACACTGACAATGTGCACGGGTGTATATGTTTATACTCACCATGCTGTCATTGCTATTATTATAGAGGGACTTTTGGGTGTTGTCTCTATATAGGGGATAACATCCGATATGACATAATAGTTGTGTATGAGGTATGCATCTACATGCAGGCACGTATTTGCGTCGTTTTTTTTGTTCTCTGCTTCCTTGTATCGATGCGATGTTTTGAAGGATCGTTTCATTCACGGCTTACCGTCATGGCTCATGGTTACACTATAGTGTCACTCGGGGTTGCGAGAATATGATAGTACTTTTTCTGTGCTTCCGCACTGGCTTTGTTGTGAAACGTTAAAAATATTATAGTTTACCAATTGGCTTGCTCCCTTTTTATGTAACTATAGGTGAGTGAGTGAGTTTAGTTTTACGCCGCTCTCAGAAATATTACAGCTATATGGCAGCGGTCTGTAAATGATCGAATCTGGACCAGACAATCCAGTGATTAACAGCATGGACATCGTTCTAGGTAATGGGGATACGATGACCTGTGTCAACCAAGACAGCGAGCCTGACCACCCGATCCCGTTAGTCGCCTCTTACGACAAGCATGAGACCAATTCTGACCCGGATCTTCATACGAACTGCTGATAATGTTGATAATGGTGATTCATTCTAACCCGGCCCTTCACGGATCTTCCTGTTATGAGACCGCGGTCTGTAAATAATTATGATCATAAGCATTATTATCAGTTGGGATATAGTTAGTCGTGTCTTTAGTAACTTTAGTACGTTATGGTGGGGTTCACCTGTTCATGAAAGCCTCGTGTCAAACTGTTTCATCGTGATTCCTAAACACATACTTATGATGCACGTGGAATAATACAATCGTGTTCAACTTCCATGTACAGAGCGGTGGGGTAGCCTAGTGGTTAAAGTGATCGCTCCTCACGCCGAAGACCCGGGTTCGATTCCCCACATGGGTAAAATCTGTGAAGCACATAAACTCACTCACTCAACGCACATATTCAAGACGTGATGTTCATGTGGACATGTTTATTAACGGTTTCAAACGTTATAAACTGACGGTAATGTTTATGCATTGAATCATAACCGTAAGAATGAAGAACAAAGGACTGGATATTCGTAAGATGAGCCTGATTTTAACCAATGAAGCAGAAATGATATACATGTATAAAGCCTCAAGTGATTTCATGTTGAGCGCACATGCTTTGTATATATTTTACATCGCTTGACATTACACAAATATGTTTAATATACGTAAGTGTGAAGACTGAGATTTTTTAGTTTGTGAAAAGTGATATTTTCACTACTGTGACAATTTCTAGTTTCACTGCAGTGTAAAATATCACTTTGCTGAAACTACTTCAAGACTCAACAAAGCTTTCTGTCCAGTATCTTTTCACACAACACAATAAATGGCGATATAAACATATACATTTCTCCAAATGCATTTGGTCAGCTTACTCTGTCAAAAAAGAAACGCAACCCCTGTCCTCAGATATGAAAAAATTCGTTTGAATGAAGTTATTGCTTCCAAACTAAATTTTATTCGAATGTATTGAAATGATACACGTAATTAATGAAGATTACCATCCAAACAACTGCATTTGTACGCATAAGTGTATTTTATTGCTTATTCCGTCACAACGCATGAAATGACCCTCATGGTGACTTCTGCACAAAAACACATGCAAATCATGAAAAAAATGGCAGTTAATGTAGGTGTATAAAAGCCCATGTGCTTCCGTATTATATTCATTCATTTGTCGCCGAAAAGCTGTGTTAAAATGCCACGATTGAGTGCTGCCGACCGAAATATCGCCATTGGTCGTGTTCAAGCCGGAGAAAGTTTTGGAACTGTTGCACGGCACCTAAATGTTCACAAAACAACGATATCCCGACTTTGGAGCCGCTACAACAACTTCAATTTGACCAACGATCGCCCGAGAAGTGGAAGGCCAAGAATCACGACCCCCCTTCAAGATCGGTACATCCGGGTCCATCACCTGCGTAATCGGCATGCCCTACCAACCGTGACTGCCACACAAATACCAGGTTTGAGGAGAGTGTCAGCTCAAACGATTAGGAACCGTCTGAAAGAAGCGGGTTTACGTGCCTGTAGACCAGTTGTTGGACCTGTACTACGCCCCCTACATCGACGCCGACGACTCAGGTGGTGCAACAACGTAAGGATACGGACTTTACAAAACTGGAGGCGAATCTGGTTTTCTGATGAATCACGTTTTCTTTGCAACGTCACGACGGAAGACAGCGTCTGTATAGGAGACGTCATAAACGTTTAGCGCCCATCTGCGTCCGACAGGTGGACAGATTTGGCGGAGAAAGCGTCATGGTTTGGGGAACCATCTCATACAACCAGAAATCTGACTTGGTGATCGTTCCAGGAACCTGACAGCCCAACGTTACATCAACCACGTGTTAGAGCTTCACCTTCTCCCGATTATTGACCAACAGACACAGATTTTTCAACGGGACAACGCCCGGCCTCATACTGCACGTGCAACAATGAACTTTCTGCAGAATTCCAACGTCAATGTCTTGCCATGACCCTCTAAATCACCAGACCTCAACCCTATTGAACACCTGTGGATACTCTGATCGACGCGTACGTCAACGTCAGCCGCCGCCACAGACGCTGCAACAGCTCGCCGTTGCACTGCAGGAGGAGGGAGAGCCATTCCCAGGAAAGAATCCGGCGTCTTATCCGTTCTTGTCCAAGGAGATGCCGTGCAGTGATTGCAGCGCGTGGTGCTCATACGAGATACTGAGACAGACGCCCCCTGGTGACAAACTGGTGTCTGTGAGATGACTTTGAAATGACAATTTTAAACATGCCCATCTGGGTTATTATTCTGCCAAATTTCAGACTTCTGTCTTAAATAATAAAATGCCGTGTCGTCCTAAAACTTCAGATCAAAATCTCTAAAATACAGGGTTGCGTTTCTTTTTGACAGAGTTTAACACCACAAAACGGTCCTTTTCAGGTCCACGCATCTCTCAAAAGAATGTTGCGGCCAAGCCAACAACAACAATAACAACGACAGGTTGACATTTTTTTCAAACGTTTATTTTCCCCGCTAACAAGAACACTTTGACAAAAGATGCAGCATTAGGGGCGTCCCTGATCTTTTGTTTACAAACAGTATGAACTGTAACATCAGAACATCCTAACATCAGAACGATAAGGTTGTAGATCATGGTTGTTGTTGTCTGTCAGGCGTGCCGGTTGAAACCAGCGTCTTACACGTTCTTCATTGACGAGGGTATCGTAGGGATCAAACTGCTCCACAGGAGTGATCCATCGCAATATATTCACCTAATGATCTTAGCAACGTTATGATTTCATTGTATCTACCACTACATGGTTCAAGTGGCTGTAAAGTATGCAGCACAATGCCCAGTAACGGTGCTCACACACGTTGTTTTCATTCAATGGGCTTTTCCTGTCTACCATACTCTTGATCCATTTGTTTTGGGGAATTGCTTGCAGTCCTTCGTAATCCAGTGTCACGATCGTGACTATCACTAAGGAGATCCCGAGATTTAACTGTGAAGAGTGGGCATAAGACTATTCTTTTGAAAGTGACGGTCTCATGGCAAATGGCTACCGCTGTTGTGTTTACGTTAGACATTGCATAACTGTGACGTCATCGATGACTTCACAGTTCATGTGGAATATTCTCAGAACTGGATATTTTCCGAGAACGGCTCATTCAAATAGTCTTTAACGTAGGATTGTGTCCCACAGACACACGAACTTCTCGAAAGAGGGAATGCATCACCGTGGACATGATGAGTGGCTCATTGCCATCATAAGTCGCATCCGTGCCATTAGACATCTGTATTCTTGATTTGAGCCAGGTGCAGCGCCAACACTGACTCAAATCGATGTAAGCGCTGACAGGGCTAGCAATGTTAAATTGGAGGAGACTGTGACCTAAGGGGGTGCAGGTCTTCCTGTCTACGCCAGTGGTACAACAGCCTATAATGTCACATTTCAGCGTATCTATTGTGCTACAGTATTGAAGGACACTCACACCAGGCGTTTGACTGAGTGAGCGGGTGCTTGAGCTTAGTTTTACGCCGCACTCGGCAATATTCCAGCTATATGGCGGAAGTCTGTAAATAATCGAGTCTGGACCAGGCAATCCAGTGATCAACAGCATGAGCATCAATCTAAGCCATTGGGATACGATGGAATGTGTCAATCAAATTCAGCGAGCCTGACCACCCGATCCCGTGAGTCGCCTCTTACGACAAGTATAGGTTACTGAGAAAAGGATAAAGGCCAATTGCAACCATTCATTTGGAAGATTTGTTGCCTCATCTTTAGGAACCTTTGTGACGGCATTAAAAACGATCGAAGGCATTACCCTGTGCAGTTTCGGCAAAAGTCATAAACCTATTAGACAACTCACACACTAGTTATAAGGTAATGGTGTCATAATGTTTACAGGTAGCTTGTAAACATTATGAACGGCCCTTGATGAATGATGTCTTGATGACGTAAGATCCGGGTTAGGATTGGTCTTCAGTATCCCATGCTTGTCGTAAGAGGCGACTAACGGGATCGGGTGGTCAGGCTCGCTGACTTGGTTGACACATGTCATCGTATCCCAATTGCTTAGATCGATGCTCATGCTGTTGATCACTGGATTGTATAGTCCAAACTCGATTATTTACAGACCGTCGCCATATAGCTGGAATATTGCTGAGTCACCTCTTGCGACAAGCATGGGTTGCAGTAGACAACCCAACCCTGATCTTCACGGGTGAGTAGATAGATGAGACGATACAGAAAGTGCAAAGTTATCTTGATGAATGTATAAACAACAAAATAAATGCTTGATGATACGTTTAATTTTCATCATCATCATCACAACCATCATCATCATCATCATCATCATCTGTTTCAGTAGGTGAAAGTCACAGGTGTTTATGTTAATACACATGACAATGTACAAACGAGAGTGAATACACGCACGTGAAACATAACAGATGGATATAAATTTCATATTGATAATTATACTTCACATATCTTTCCATAATAAAAACAACATTGTTTTGCTGCGAAACATATTTTGAATTATTGAAAATGTCAATCAGTCAAACCTCTGTACATTTGGTCATGGACAGTATTTTGATTTGAGGTACACCTAAGAGGTGAACATAGGTAAGAAATGTTTGCACAAAAGTAGTAATGACTTTTAACATAATCAGAGTTACGTTTTCTAAATTACCCAAATATTCAATTGCCATTCAGGCCAATTTCTAAACAGTGACATCTCGCCGAACCCGGGAAGGAAAAGTACTATGGTTCAAATAATGACTAGGAATTAATATAATATGGCATCATTTGACTGTTCAAAATGCCGCCAGAACTGAAGAAAACTGCCTTTCAGAGACCCACTAAACAAATGTTAGAAAATACATTTATTGTCATAAACTTTCAAAATACATCTTTAAAACCTTAACTTAAACTTATGGTTTCATACTTTATCACCACGTTTAGATAACGTTGTTGAACACACAAACACGTTATAACATTTCCTTGGTAAACTACTGTCACGGCGTCAACTACCGTCCAGGGAGACTGGACGGAAAATGATCCAGAATAGTAAGCAAATACACATTCAACCAGATTGTTGATACAACCATTATTAATGCTAAGTACCCGCTCAAGCATGAATGAACTTGCACCTCAAGCACAACAAGAAGCCGCTAAAACAACACAGAGTTAGGTAATTAAACTCGCCTTAATAGACTAGCTCAGGGATCAGACCATTCATTGAGTGGTGACACCTAATGTGTGTGTGTGTGTGTGTGTGTGTGTGTGTGTGTGTGTGTGTGTGTGTGTGTGTGTGTGTGTGTGTGTGTGTGTGTGTGACCTAACTACTGCCACTTACAGGTTACAGGGAGAGTATCGGGCCAATAAACATTTAACACCCAAGTGATCAATAGGTCAAACAGACCAGAACAAGATATACCATCACAAAAAATAATAATGTCTTGAGCTCCCAAGTTCGGTCCTCAGGTCGTCCCACGATGCGGCGATTGACAACTGGTAGCAGGCCGACACGCACACAGCAGTCTAGAATTTCCCAACTGGGTTGGATAACTGGCCACGTCCAGATATAACGTAACCGCGCGGACGCATCCAAGCTTGCATCCAGCCTCTGTCCAGCAAAGAAGTGTGCTAATACTTGGGTACGACTATAACTAACTTGTAAGCGTATGTACAGTAAAGGTGAACACATGTATAAGAAGAGCCTGACCTCTACTACAATTAGATATAGGTGCATATTGAGACAATAATTTGTACAATTTTGAAGTTAGCAAAAAACCTGATAAAATAAGAGGTAAACATAAAGGTTGGAGTGGCATAAACGCTTATATCTCCCTTATAAAAACAGATACAGTGACGGGAGACACATATACAAAAAGCTAGTAAACTCCTCTACAAGAGGGTACATACATAGGTCGTAAAAGATGTTAATTACAATGCATAACGGGGCGGTGGCCCATGGGGTAGCCTAGTGGTTAAAGCGTTGGCTCGTCACGCCGAAGACCCGGGTTCGAATCCCCACATGGGTACAATGTGTGAAGCCCATTTCTGGTGTCCCCCGCCGTGATGTTGCTGGAATATTGCTAAAAGCGGCGTAAAACCAAACTCAGTCAGTACAATACATAACAAACAAAAAAGTAGCAACAGGGGACGCACGGCTCAACTTGATGAGCTGAATAAACAAATGCGCAGGCACTGACGGCCATGTTGCAAGACACACCTGCCAGTCGCGTGAGAACTACATTCAGACATAGTGATCATGAGCACCTTTAACCAATATTTACAGGGTATGCGCCACATTCACCATTCTCACCAATAGTTCAGTATAGTTCACATAACTATTTTCTAGTTATTTTGTTTCCCCCAAGGTCCCAAATCTCTGAACGCAAAAATATACAGGTAATAGCCATCTACATTTAGTCCATTTTCTGATTAAAGATTCACAATCAGTTCGAACTCGGAGTCAGCTGACTGTGATACCACTAAGGGCCGCAACTCTGAGCTGGATAGACAATTCCGGCTTCATCGACGGGTGGACCACTCCGTCCCCAACTAAATGGAAAAGGAACAAAATTGTAAGCCACCTTTTGTTTAATAAACAACTAATTGAACGACACATTTGACGAGTATTAACTCCCTAACACTGTGCATTGCTTATATCCGACCAGTGTTATGACATATTATGGGTACTTTATGTGTATTTTCCGAACAGACTGGTAGCCATCCGAGTGGAGCCTTTTGTAAATAACCAGGGGCAGCATTCTCTTGCCACTGTAGAACCTCTCGCCGTTCAGCACTCCCTGTTAAAACAAGCATAATGAGATAAACATCCTTCTGGTGAATGGAGTGAGTGTTTGTTGTTTAACGCCGCACTCAGCAATATTCCAACTATATGTCGGAGGTCTGAAAATAATCGAGTCTGGACCAGACACTCCAGTGATCAACAGCTTGAGCATCGATACGATGACATGTGTCAGCGAAGTTAGCGAGCCTGGCCACCCGATCTCGTTAGTCGTCTTTTACGACAAGCTTGGGTTGTTTGATTCACGGATCTTCACGGGTTTATTCACTCGAGAGATCCATCAACCGTAGAACATGAGCAGTACAGTTCATTAACAATATAACGTCCACAGCAAGGTAACAAGTCCCTGAACACAACTGATCTACCGTGAACTAAAATGAGCTTTGAGAAATGCAAAGAATATGGTTGATAATAGAAAACCCGTTTCATATTTCAATATTTCAACGTAAAGACGTATTTCACTTCTACCCCGGATCTTCACGGGTCAGGGAGTGAGTGAGGTGGGTTTAACTCAGCTTGAACTGTATGTCATAACGTGTCAGCTTGATATGGGGTGAAGGGCTGAGATCATACAGTAATCAAATGGACTCCACCATATGGACAGAAACACGGTCGTGATTAATACCCAGGATCAGACGTGTTTGGCAGAGGGACGCAACTCTGCACAGAAAACCGCGGCGCTTCAGACCCCCGCTCCAAACTGATCAATTACCTGTACAAGACATACATGCCAATCGCCATGGCAACTGTAATGATGTTTATAATCACCCTCATTCATTTGTTTTCCGAGAATACCTGTAAAATTTCTGATGAGGCGTTAAGTAATACTCACTCACTCACTCACTCACTCACTCACTCACTCACTCACTCACTCACTCACTCACTCACTCACTCACTCACTCACTCACTCACTCACTCACTCACTCACTCACTCACTCACTCACTCACTCACTCACTTACCCATATCAGAGTTATTACCATCCTGTTCCTTTCTCTCGTCAAAAAGAGAGTACGTACGTAAATGGACCATAATGTAAGCAAAGGTTTTATCTACCTCAAAAGTGTCGGCGTTGATGGTGACAACCAAAGTGAATTCCTCACCACTGCCCACTGAGAAAGGCCGATTGTCATCTTCAATAGACTCTCCATCTACATACACAGAGAAGCCTCCCCAGGTACGGCTCGTCCATAACAAGCTCGCCACCTTTGACCCACCATCATCTTTTAACATGAGGTAGATTCTGCAACGTAAACAACATCTGGAACTATAGGGTTTTCAAAGCCACGAGAATACTAGAGTTAAAGTCCTTAGTCAAAACACACAAGCATGTATTACAGAAAGAGTTTCATAATTACATTACTTGGTCAATGTCGAATGTCTTGCTAACCAATTTTGTCCCAGCCTGGTTCCCTGGGTCTGTTGCGCCTGCGCTAACGCTCCGACACTGATCAGTATCGGAGCGTTAACGCAGGCGCAACAGACCCAGGGAACCAGGCTGATTTTGTCCCAAACGTATCCGTACATAAGAATGATTACATTTGTACATATACATTCCCCAAAAAGAAACGCATATGTGTATTTTCACGAATTTAATCTGTCAACTATAAAGTGATAAAACACGTATAATTCTGGATGACAGTGTTTCGATCTACAGCAGTGAATCGCGTCACAGCGATCTACTTTCATTTTGCTAAAAAATGCCCAACACTGTTCAAAAGCAAAACAACGTTATATAGGCAACTCCCTGCTCACCATTCCATAGAACTGCACGTGTATATTGCGAACCACTTTTAAAACAGTATAATGGTTAAGTCATAACGATGAACCACTTATTAAAAATGTTTGAACATTTCATATAACAATATCACCAATGCGTTTCTTTTTTGTCAGAGTATATATCTCTAATTCAATATTGTACACATATTAGCCTCAAACAGAAAGTTTGCACATAGAAAACTAACACGTATATTTGAACAACATATGTATACAAAAACAGATTAAACACAGCTAAAAGGGAATTGAATTAAACACATATGCATGTGCTTCGTTTCGTTAATTCAGTGCTTGCGTCATGTCTTTCCGCCATAGGACCTACCCTGACGCAACGTCATAGAGAAAACCGTCGACCATCAACCTCCATTGTGGTGAGGATTATTGTTTTACAGACGAGTCCAGCGCCCCGTTCTTCAAAGCGATCGTAGCGCTACGACTGTCGTAAGCCTATGTTAAAGTATGGGAGTTACGACCATCTTACCGCTACGATCGCTTTCAGGAGCGGGGCCCAGATTTAGCATTTCCCGACGCCGTCTCTACTGACATCTTGTAGAGCGTTATGCTCAAGCTTGCGTCATGGGGAGGAACCCCTTTGTACTTACGGTATGTCTTCATGTCGCGATCCGATGACTTCAATGATTACCCCAGTAACCAATGGCGATGGTATCTTGAAAACTGTTTCTGTCTGAAAAAAGGTGAGAGCTTTTAATGCTTAGTTTATTGTCAACTGATGAAACACATCGACTAACGGGATCAGGTGGTCAGGCTCGATGAATTTGTTGACACATGTCATCGTATCCCATGAATTTGGACCAGACAAGCTAGTGATTGACATAATGAGCAATGACCCATGCTGTTGGGGAAAATGGCATATACATGCAGTCAACAATTTCACAAAGCTTTTATTCCTCATTCCTAATGTTGACTGTGTGCCAGTGATAAGTTAATGGGGACATATTCCATCTACCCGTGAAGATGGCACATGCCATCGTATCCCAAATGCGTAGGACCGCCTTCGTGGTGTAGTGGTTGGAGCGTCCGCCCGGAGAGCGGAAGGTCGCGGGTTCGATCCCCGGCCGCGTCATACCAAACAACGCTGAAATATGGTACTTGTTGGTCCCTCGGAGTCAGTATAATGTGTCTGGGTGGGGTATTCATGCTTAACTGTGGCATGGTACCTCTGTGAACTAGCACTATAAAACTAGCTTAAGTCTGGGCTAGTACAAACAGCCACAGATACACACGGCATGCACGTCGTCATATGAGCGAAATATTCTCAAGTACGACGTTAAACACCATTTCACCTCACTTCACCCAAACGCGTAGATCGATGCTCACGATGTTTATCACTGGATTGCCTGATCCAGATTCAATTATTTACAGACCGCCGCCAAATAGCTGTAATATTGCCTCATGGATCAGTGACAACCTATTCTGACCCGAATCTTCACGGGTTGGAACTTACCGGTTCCACCCACAGATTCTGCCCACACTTTCTCGTCGGGATCCAGCTGCCGCCGGAGTAACATACGCTGTTGATGAAGTCAGGGTCCGTTACAGGTATCGTCGTGCTAGAGCATCCGGTCGCTGTCGTATTATCTGTGTTGGGTACCTTGTAGAACTCACAGTCAGCTGGCAAACGATATTGAATACATTTGATTTAGTCAAACCTCGTAAATATGGAAGATCGGCCATCTAGAAGTTGGTGAGTCAGCAATAAAGCATACAAATTTATACAACTTTATTTATACTCAAACAAGCTATAACGGTGTAAGAATCTACACCAAAACGTCGATCTATGGAATAAAGACGATGCTGCCATCTATAAAGTTGTATCCATCATTACTTGTCTCTCCTTTTTTAATTATTCACAAATAAAAAATGACAGTTGGCTAAGAATATTATTCAACCTTATATTGTATTGGAACATTACATAAAACTTTATAACTTTAACTCTTATCGTATAATTACACATAGCGTTTCTTTATTTGCGTGCAATCTTAACATCTGAATAATAATAATAATGCTAACAGTTCACTTGATGCAAAGACAAGGACCCGGATGTTGAATATTCCACACCCTGGGAGATAACGGCAAGTAGAAGACATGCGAGAATTATATCTATATATTTTCCCATCATATTATACATTTCAATGTGTGTTTAGAACAGTTCTATTAAAGATTATTTCATACCCTGGTCTAAACAGCGTTTCTAAATAACAGAAAGGCATGCAACCATCATAATTTATATTTGCACCATGCGAGAGATTGCTACTATCATTGTATTTTTAGCTACAGATCCATACACTCCGTGTAATAAACGTTTCAAGGAAAATTCGACAGTATTTTATGCTTCCACGTTCACACTTCATGTGAGGTGTTTTATCCGATGAAGATGGAACAAATACCCCCACCCCCCAAACGTCCGAACAGTATAAACAATAATAAGATCAAGTTTTGTTGCTTCGTTACTGTCAGTAAAGATTTAAAATTGAAATTCAAAACATTCTTGATTCATAATCCTAACATATGTATGTAGTAATTTTCACATTCAAATTCTAATACAATAACACTTTTTAAGTACTGTACAATATATCTCTTATTCAATCTCCGCAATAAATGTGTTTCTGATGAAACACGTCAAATTATTTACTTGTTATTACGGGCACTTCCTCGGGTCTCAACAAAAAGATCTCTCAATAGTATTACTCAATTATTAATAGTATTTGTATATGTCAGTATCAGTGTATTAGTAAATTCATTTGCAATAGAAATAAATATATCTTGGTGAATACATCTCCATTAAAACTTGGGCAAGGCATTCGATGACATGACAGTTTCTACAGACCATGAGTACAGTGTTATTTGATATTTCAACAGTATAAGATTCTCTAATAAACAACCAACTTTGATAAAAAACCCATTTACATTAATATTTTAACATATTTGTTGAAGTTGTGCATGGTTACGTTTTTAACATACGCCCAAAGTATTTTGACAAACGTCTAACATCCATTTTTATACTTCAACCATATATAGAATAAGAACTTGATGTTTACAAACGTTAATGTTTCTCAATATCTAGGGCTTTGCTATGTTATTTTTGTGGATGTTTTACCAAAGTAGATATATAAAGCGTGGGTGTTCAGATAGACAATGTTTCGAAGTATGACGTGACTTTGTGACTTTTTCATTGTTCGTATACATTTGATTGTTTGCTTATTTCCATCAATACTGATAAATAGAACTGAACGCTTCGAACAGTGAAACAACAAATGTGATAGATGTCTGTTTATTCAACTGTATTTATTTAGTCGATTGGCTGGTTTGTTGTTGAACGCCGCACTAAGCAATATTCCAGCGGCGGTCTGTAAATAATCGCAATAGTTTTCATTAAAGCAAGATAAGTATGTAGTTAAATTCGTCATTAAGGGCGGTTGTATTTCAAATAATGAGCACCGACAGCCTTCACGAGGTATACCTACCCATCTACTCGCCTCCATGGTATGGTTGCACATGCGGAAGAAAAGTAAAGGATCGGAAATATTTCGAAGCAGTAGTCAGAAATTTTCAAATGACGGATAGTCCATAAAACACTTGAAGTCATTCCCTTCTTAAGACCAGTTATCAACACTCCTCCTTCACCTGATAAACTGAAGATATTGGCACCGACTATGGTATAAGTGTCCTTTGTTTTCAAAATATCCTTCCAGTTTTATTCTGAATGTAGCCTCAATGAGGCCTTGTGTGAAGTGAGTGCATGTTCTACAGCCGACTGTATTTGTACAATTCTTATGGGAAACAGATTCAGAGCAATCCTATCCTGCAGGGTGGGCTACAAATTTAAAATCAATAGTCTAACTCTTCTAAAATGGATGAAGGCATGTATATGTATTTTACTTTTAAGATGTTCTCTTTGGTTTAGTTGAAAAATACTCGTTGGTCAGTTATTCAAATGTGTCCCAAAATATCGTGAACACTTTCCTGCAGTTCATTACTTTAAGATCATTATGGATGTCGCAAGAGAATACAAAGAAAGTATGACCCATGGCCAGTTGAATGCCATGTTATTATTTTGGTTTGGTACCTTTCCTAATGACTGTGAGTACAGATACTCCGTAGACCAAGTGTCTTGTATTGTTAGGACGTTTGGGAGGTCCTTGTCTTAGAGACTGACATTTTTAGTCATTAAGATTAGTTTGCTATTCATGCTTTCCCGGTCTATTTAATTGCTCAAGACATTTGTATTAGGGATAGGGTTCACACCCATAACCCCTACATGCCACTACCCCTACACTCCAGTACCCCTACAGCTAGTTAAAACAACACCTAGCATTTACCTGTCTGATATAATAGACTAATCCTAAAGAGGGATTAGTGCATGGAGCATAGATGAGATCAAGGGATGCATAAATGTGATTAGTCTTTTGTGGCAAGGAAATTAGTGGTCTCATGATGAAAACAAACCTCAACCCTGAGTAGAAGAAACATACAATTGGAAAAGTGTTGTGATTGCTAAATGTTGTTAAGAAAAGTTGTTATAGTGCACTTTAATGTTACATATATTACAATGTTGAGAAGTTGAGAGAAATAAAACGTGGAGATGATACAGGAAATTGAGATTGTTCCATACAGTATATAAGTGCTGACATGAAACAAACATGGCATCAACATGGCTGGTCTTCGCAATGTTGAGTTTGTTATGTCACGGAGAGGTAGCCGTCAAGTTCTGTTGGGTGGATATCTTCACACTAAGAATGTTGAGCGACAGACCTGTGTGCTCAAGGATGAAGTTCAGCAGAGACTCAACAGACCGCTTGATCCTGCCTGCATCCAGACCGATTTTGAGCTAGCAGCAATCCACGCCATAGAAACAGAATTTCCCACTGCTGACGTGAAGGGCTGTTTCTTCCATTTCTGTCAAGCCATCTGGAGGAAGGTTCAGGATCTTGGACTAGCTGTTGCCTACAAGGAAAACCCCGAAGTCACCAAGTGGATCAGGAGAGCAGCTGGACTACCTCTACTTCCTCAAGCCGCGGTCCAAGACACTTGGATTGAAGCCATGGATGACACTCCTGACGTCCCAAGAGCTGGCGACTTCAACGACTACATCGTGACAACATGGGTCGACGACGACGACACTGCCAGATTTTTTTCTTCACCTGTGGAACCACAACTTGACAGCTGGGCCGAGGACAAACAACAACCTGGAAGGATTCCACAACCGTCTGAATCGAGAAATTCCACACAGGCACCCGAACATCTACAGATTTGTAGAAGTCATCAGGAGAGTCGAACACGCCGAGAGAGTGAGGATTGCTCAGATTGACTTTGGTGCTGCGCCAACAAACAGAAAACGAGTGTACAGAGAGATCGACAACCGTCTGTGCAGACTCAAGGAACAGCTTCAGCGTGGACAGAAATCCCTCTTCAGTTTCTTGACGCCGTCGGCTACCTGCTCAAGCTTGATAGACTGTAACACTGACACTTGAACACTTGTGATAATGTAATAATGTGGTCTTTCTCTCATCCTGATATGTTGATATGAAACACTTGTGATAATGTGATCTTTGTTCATCCTTATATGATGATATGAAAACACTGAATGTAAATAGACTGAAAACTTGACAATTATTGATCTCAATGTGTGATGTATTAAGGTCACACTTTTGATAATGTAATAATTTGGTTTTTCTCTTATCCTGATGTGATATGAGATGAGATGATTAAAACACTGAATGTAAATAGACTGAAAAACTTGACAATTGATCTCAATGATGTGGTACTTTGTGATAACACATGTATTAAAGTCACTTTTAAAATCTGTCTTGTGTCATGTTGTGCATCTTAAGTGGACCAGTCCACTGTATGGAATAGGTAACAGGCAGGAGATTAGTTATGCAACAGACCATAAACTATGTTGTTATAAGCTGTAGGGGTAGTGGCATGTAGGGGTAATGGGAGGTTACCAGGGATAGAGGCCCTCAGTGTTTATTACCCGCTATTTCACCCAGCCGAGCTCGAGGTTATACCCTCATTAGAGTGTTGGATCAATTGACTGTTTATTGGTCGCAGCAGACTTAATTGGTTGTCTATGAATCATATCAGTGTCTTGTCATGTGTTGTCATGGCGTCTCTTTGTTTATTGCTGTTACACGTTTGCTTAGCATATATATATACATGTATTTCTTTTGTTGCCTTTGATACAATAAGTGGGTAGTTATCAAGCAATCAACATTTACCTCGTGCACGTTTCAATGATACTTTGTCTTGTGTATTGACTGGACGAACGCTCCATGACAGGACACAGTTGGCTGCAACTCATTTATTCCTCAGAGAAACCACTTTAATAACGTTGTGATACATATTCTGAACCGGGGCGAGATACCTCCCTCTCTATATTTTAAAGATTATGCCACAGGCCAACTCTCCATAATTTATAGAAAGCTTCAGCAAAATGTATTAAAAAAAATGCATACAATTTCTATTATAAGACTTACAGTATGCATTTAAAAATGTCAACACAAGTAAAATCCCTGATTTCTAGACCCTGATTGCGCGTTATTTAGAATGTTATCAACATCAACAAATTTAGAAAGTCTGTTATTTAGTATTTGGGAGGAAAGTTTGCCAAGGCAGCTCAGTGTAACACTATTGGTCTGTATGAAGTAGGCACTTGCTTGTATAGATTGGCTTCACAATCTTGTAAGCCATGTATGGTAACAAGCCAGATGATAGTATGGAATTAAATAGAGAATCTCACCCACGTGTCTTCTGATATCAAATATATCAACACGAGTTGATTAAAGTTATATATCCTAGGCTAAAATGTAGATATCGCTTGCAGATATCGCTTTATATCACACAAGCGATATCTACTGTGGGAGCCAGTTTGGGATGATAAAGTAATTTGTAAGAAATGGGACAAGGTTGCCTGAAGCATCTTTCAAGTAATCATTCCCTATCAAGCCCTGCCCAGTACTTGTTATTTGTTATTTCTCGACTAGTGCATGTCTTATATCGATGGCCATGTCATTGATCATCAACCCACATCAATTTGAGTTTCACGTGCTGCATGTGCTCGCTTCTCTCAGTTTTCATTTTATGACAATTTTGTGCATATTTGGACAAAGCATGGTGAATACATTTACATCATTTGTCTCCAAATGAGAACGATGAATTAAAACATAACTCAACATCTGGCATAGTCTATTAAATGGCGCAACGGTAGGGGGAATAGTAAAACCTCTCACTTATACTTAATTCTCAAACGGTTTTGGCTGTAGGTTTTGCGTAACGAAACCAAATATATAGTTCACTCAGTAAGCGTTCTGTCTAATCACGATGATGATCATTGGATTGTCTGGTCAGGACTCGATTATTCACAGACCGCCGCCAGCTGGAATATTGCTGAGTTCGGCGTTGAACAACAACCAAGCAAATCTTATCAAGATGTTGTGCTGCTGACGTTTGTAGAAAGATAATAATAATAAGTATATTTCTAAAGCGCCAAAATTCCACGCCGGGAGCATGCTCATAGCGCATACAGAGAGTTCTAGTTGCAGTGATATGATACTGAGAAAAGGTGAGTCTTGAGGTGAGATCTAAATAGAGTCAGAGTTTGACATGTTCGCAGATGGTCGGGCAATTCGTTCCATTTCTTGGCCGCTGCCACCTGAAAAGAACGGAAACCATATGATTTCAGATGCCAAATTTAGGGGTTTGGTGACAAACCGTGCTGCAGTATTCTGAATTTTCTGGAGTCGAATAATGAGTTCCTGTAAGATATGGAGCAGAAGGCTGTTGCAGTAGTCAATACGGGAAAGTATCAGAGATCGAACAAGTGCTGCAGTAGAATCCTCAGTCAGAAGATGGCGGATACTGCCAATGGTTCGGATGTGGTAGTAACAAGATTTACATAACTCCGAGACTTGCTTCTCCATCGACAGATCACATTCAAAGTAGACACCAAGATCTTTGACTGTTGATGAGGGGGGAATGGGTGTGTCACCAATGTGAAAAGAAGCAGTATTGATCTTCGACAGGCGGGAGGCTGGGCCAACTAACATCACCTCTGTCTTGTCCTCATTTAGCTTGAGGAGATTGGTGTTCATTCAAGCCTTGACAGATGCACAGCAATTCTCCATTTTCGTCAGTGGAGAGTTGGTGTTCAACTTGAAGCTATCGGTCATCTGAGTGTCATCTGCATATAGATGTGTGGCTCATAGTTACCTCCTCCAAGTGCTTGGTGTACATGGTAAACAACAGAGGTCCCAAAACAGAACCTTGAGGGGCACAGTAGTCCACGGAGACTAGATGAGTGTGAGTTCTTCATCACAACCGTTTGTTGCCGCCCTGATACATATGAAAGAAACCATGACAAAACCTTGACACTGATTCCGTAATCAATCTTCAGCCTTGCATCAACATACCATGGTCAACCGTATCGAAAGCTCACGAGAGGTCCAGGAGAACTAACACAACAACTTGTCCAGCACCCACAGCCTGTTGGAGGTCATTTAGTACTCTGAGGAGAGCAGTCTCAGTGCTAAGGGCCTTCCTATATGCGGACTGGAACTTGGCCATGAGATTGTGTTCTTCTAAGTGATGCAAAAGTTGCTTGTTCACTGCCTTTTCGAGTATCTTTGACATAAAAGGCAGATTAGAAACAGGTCGATAGTGTTTCATTATGTTTTTGTCCAAGTTGGATTTTTTAATAAGTGGTTTGACAGATGCTTTCTTAAAAGACTGTGGTACTGATCCGCTTGCCAGACTGGTGTTGATAATCCTGGTTATGGTAGGAAGAATGATGTCCACTACAAGGAGCAGCAGATCAGTGGGTATTGGGTCCAGTTCACAGGTGGTGGGCTTAGAGTCCTTGATCAAATGTACGACCTGTTCATCTGTCAAAGGTTGAAATTCACTGAACTCAGGACAGGACTTGCTCGTTGGTTGATTGAGTGTCAGTAGTCGGTGTAACGCTTCTCATGATAGATGCTACCTTGTCTGTGAAAAAAGTGTTGAACTCATTAGCAAAGGCGGCATCCCTTTCAGCATCAGGAAGTGTATAGGCTTTCTCTCGTCCCAGAAGTTTGAACATGTGAGACCATAGAGACTTGGGGTTGTTTAGATTAAACAAGATAGTTTCATTGTGAAACGTTTTCTTAGCAGAACGAATAATTTTCCTGACATTGTTGCGCTCCTGCTTGTAGAGTTCTCTGTGAACGTGAAGCCTTGATTTGCGCCATCTTCGTTCAGCAATTCGTCGAGATTGTTTAGCAGTTCGAATTTCGTCACAATACCAAGGATTGCTTGGCCTACAACGCACTGTCTTGGCAACAGCAGGTGCATGTTTCTCCAGGAGATCAGACAGTGTAGAGTTGTAGAGGTCAGTTAACATCTGTAGATCAGCGGGAGGGTTTGTCAGTAGCTCACTTTCCAGGAGATCCTTTTTGAAAGTGTCCAGACAAATGCCTTTGATATTTCGACACAATACAGTTTTATGTTGTGGTTGAGGTTGAGTCAAGCAGAGTGAGAAGGTAATCCAACAATAATCAGACATCATGCGATCTTCAACACTGACATTCTCAATCATAGTGTCAGAGTCTCTAGTAACTATCCAGTCAATGATATGACCACTTTTGTGAGTGGACTGAAGTACATGTTGTGTCAAGCCATTGGCCCTCAGAACAGATATGCACTTCTTGAGACCAGGCTTCACTGATTGATCAAAGTGGATATTAAAGTCACCTGAGAGGACAAATGAACCCTTATGGCTGTGTACTGTCTCAATGAGATGTGAAAAGTCAGTATGGAACTGTGAAATACTTAGCTTAATAGCTCTTGAAGGTGGGGGCCTGTATATGCACACCATCCTTGTCGATCTAGTGTCTGTGGTTATGACCATCTGAATCACTTCAAAAGAACTTAAAACAGCAGAGACAGAGCAACTCCTCCTCCTACGCCAGTTGTTCGTGGAACATGTTTGGAGCTGTAACCATCCGGAACTAACGCCGCTAGGGTGGGCTCATCACCAGTTGATTTCAGCCAAGTTTCAGTTAAACACAAAAGGTCCAAATTATCATCCAGAACGGAATCATAAATGTCCACTGCCTTATTCCTAACAGACTGGACATTCCATAATGCAGGTTTTAGGTAGTTGGTTTTAGGTTTGGGATGAACAATTTTGATGTTTTCAAAATTAATGTCCTTTGTAGGGTTGTGCCCCTGTTGGCCCTGACATGTTGAACATACTCCAGTGATAACCTTGATTGGTCTTTGTTTCCTCCTTCCTGCTCGCTTGCCCCGTTTGGTAGACTTTGTTGTACATATACCTGCTTGACGAATCTTACGCAACAACTGTGGTGGTATCTTGGCAGAGACAATAGGCCTGGCCAAGTAGAGCAGCTTCTCCCTTGAATAGGTAATTGTCATAGTTGATTGGACACACTCAGTCAATGTCCGAGGAGTGAGGACAAGCTCACTTTTTACATGCAGAAATATATAGATCACCAAGTATACACAGTTTATGAATGAAAAGAATTGCATTTTCAAATGAACGTTCAAGCATCAAAATTTCACATAACGATGATGACACACTGATGAAATTCCACGACAAATTGTGGCTATTTATCACTGAAATTTAGATGAAAACAGACAAGTTTTGTCAGAGCCCTGTTACATGCAGCCTGTCAGGCGCAGACCCAAGCTCCCAAAGATAATTTCTTTGGGAAATATCACGTCCACACTTTGCCGGAAATTCCCGTATTTGAGCCTCGGGCGTAATAATGAAAACTTTCCCTTGTAGTAATCTAATTATTAAACCATAATTTCCATGTTTTAGATTCGAGAATTGCATATATTGAATGCTACGGTTCTCTCGACATAATCATAGATTATTCAATCATAGATCAACCGTGATGTCACAAAACAAATGAGTTAATGTCATGACGTCATTTTGGCTCCCAACAAAGACAAAACCTGTCCCTATTTCAAGACCACCTCGTGGAAGACGTGGACCACTACAGTTAACTTGAACTTGAATGACAGATTCGGTTCTGTTCTTGTGAAATATGTCCGAATACAATTTTCCAGCTTGATAGAAACTGCGTGTGAGTCATATGCATCAAAGTGGTTCCGTGTCAATTATCTTTCCTGTTTCTGGAGTGCAGCGAGTCCTGTACACTGGGAATCCCCTGACTGCACAATAAATACTGACCAAGGGACATCGCTCTCAACAATAAATTTAAAGATCTTACTTCAGGACCTATTTAGCACCAAAATCCCGATTTTAGGCCAATGGGCTAAATTTAGCATTGGCTTAAATACAGAATTTTTTTATCATTTTAGTATGATTCAATGGCAAAGTGACCTGTTTCATCTCATGCTTACCTGCCCAGTACTGAGCACCTGGATCCGGAGTGGCACTGGAAAGGTCCTTGTCGTTGTTGTCAAACAGCCTACACTGGCCATTGTTTCTGTTCAGCACAACCACATTGCAGTTAGAGTGATAGAAACACTTCGTGAAGCATTCAGTCCACTTGAACTCCACCTCAGGGTAAAGGATCCCCAAAGATCCATTGTCGAGACGGTAGTTATCAAACTCTGGTCTGTGATGGTAAAATGATCCACATGCATCTGGTGATGGTATTTTTCCCTTGATAAGGTAAACACCGAGGGTTAGTGTCATATATAACAACGAAACAACCTCCATTTGGGATTCTTTTAAAAACTGACAAAAACTGTTTTACTCAGTTTGGAGACGCCTTCTAGTCTCATATGACGTCTTCATCGACTGGGGATGGGAATCGTAGAGCTGCTTCATGGCTTTTGTCGTCTTAGCAGGTGATGTAATTGATCGGAGACACATGGTTGCCTCCACTGGATTGCATGAACAAGCCACTCTATTTATATCTATATTTATAGCTCCTAGCACCTACGCAATGGGACGGGGTGTAGGCAGGTTCTATCACGTATTGTTAAATAAGATTCAGCTTTGCGTACCTATTGACGAACTCACTGGCTTACTTATGAATAATTGTTAAGGTTTTATCGCTGGAATATTATTGAGTGCTGCGTAAAACAACAAACAAACAAACAAAACTGAACTATACTGAGTCAAAAAAGAAACTTCACAAAATGTAATTTGAAAAATAATGAATAATTTTTCTCTGATGATACGTCTATGTATCCGAAATGGGATCCCTATCTTTCGACTCTAGAAAAACGTTAGCAAAATCCACTCAAACCCATCCATTCCTCGTGCAAATGACATTAGTGCCAAATCAGGTTTTGCACGTGCAGTCGATCACGTGATCTTCGCATCGAAGTTTTCTTCATATGCACGTGTTTGCATTGGCCTCAAGAATTGAAAAAACACTTTTAAACACAGTTCTAACGGTACTTGAAATACTTGTCAAATGTGCAACGTGAAGGTGCCGTTGGCATGTCTACAACAAACTGGCACCACTTCTGATCGCCCAAGGTCGGGTCGTCCACGTGTGACGTCACGAGCAGAAGACAAATCGTCCTACGTCACCTACGTGACAGATTTCTGCCGGCTACACGAACCAGGGCTGAGATGTTTAGAGGTCGACTGTCACAGACCATTCGAAATCGGTTGCGGGCTGCCAATCTCCATTCTCGACGTCCATATCGTGGGCCAATATAGACGCCGTTTCATCAACGTCAACGTCTGCTGTGGGCCCAACGTCACGTCCGATGGACCCAGAGAGACTGGAATCGAGTCGTCTTTAGCGATGAATCCAGGTTTACCCTCAGATTCGCGGACGGCAGGTATAGAGTCTGGAGACGACGTCGTGAACGGTATGCCCAATGCTGTGTACAGGAAGTCGACAGATTCGGGGGCGAAAGTTACTTGGTGTTGGGTGCTTTCCCTGGGAACAACCGTTCCCGACTTCTGGTCATCCGTGGAAACCTCACAGCTGCTGCTTACCGCGACCAGGTGCTCACCCCTGAACTCGTTCCTTTCATGGCGGCTCATGGCCCAGGTCTACAGTTCCAGCATGATAATGCTCGGCCGCATACCGCGATGTTGACACGAAATTTCCTTCAAAACGCTGGAATCAACGTCATGGACTGGCCATCGAGGTCCCCTGACCTTAATCCAATAGAGCACGTTTGGGATGCACTTGGGAGGAGGCTTCGTGGTCTTAGGAACCAACCTCAGAATTTGCAGGAACTTGGCGCTGCCTTGCAAGAGCAATGGCGCAGAATCCCCAACCACGTGTTCACAAACATCGGGCAGTCGATGAGGAGACGGTGTTTGGCAGTGGTGAATGCGCGGGGCGGCCATACACGATATTGAACTGAGAAATTTCGCATTTTTATTCTTGTGACTTGACATTCTTTATACCCATGTTTTGGAACGGCGGTGTAGCCTAATGGAACTGATTATGGCACTGTCAGTGTATCGAGTACATCACACAGATCTCAGCAATGAAATAATAACAGTTTCACCATCTTACCATCTCTTGTTCTTTTATAGTGCCCTGAAGAAAGAATGTGAAGTTTCTTTTTTGACTCAGTATATATTAACAGAAAAAACTCAATACCAGAGACAGTTGTTATTCACTCACTCACTCAAGGTACTCGTCCACAGTACAGTTCAATTTTAAAAATAGATGAACGTATGGTATGGATTAAAAACTTCCTTATAGTTTAGAACACGACGTTTCTGGGCTACTTCTTGCCCCTTCATCAGGTGAATGACAAAATATGATTTACAAGCAAAATATATAGAATGTACAGGAGGCCAGTGAGATGGAATTAAAGATTGAGATGTACCGAGATCAAGGAGATAAAGTGATATGTTTAGACTGAGATGTACAGACTTCAAAGCGATTAAGTGGTATGTTTATGCAATAGATATTATAGATTTGTATATACAGAGTGTTTATACAACCAAAAAGATATACATTGATTGGGTATACATCGACTTGAAGCCACTTATGAAAACAGAGATGGAAGACGCACATCAAAACATGAACAGTGGGAGCAACATGGGAAAACATGCACAGTGAATTGGAAGTTTCATTGGAAAATGTACAATGATAGAATGCCAGTAAAGTCTATATTTCTATGCACCAAGCATCCGGCAAGAAAATACCCTGATCCCTGTTGATTTCAAGTTTCGCGTGGTGGATCCAGACAGCCTCCATCAATTTTCCTTTCCGCCAATCGCTGATGGTGACGGCCAAAATGTCGTCCCAATTTATGGTATGGCTGGGATTTCTGATCACGTGTTCTGATAAGGCTGATTTCATGTCAGAATTCTTCACCGATGCTTTCTGTTCCTCCTATGCTGCCACATGTACATTTCAATTTGTATTCACCCTCTTGGGTTAGGGGTAGTTTCGCTGCTTCCTTTACCACTGGCTTTTAACAAAGATTTTAGGGTTTTGCCAGATGAGAAAGTAGTGTCAATGCTGGCAGTTTTCTTAAGAAGTCTACTGATGTGATGACTGAGGGAATATTTATGCGGATTGGGGATGGTTCAGGCTTAGTTGGAGGTTCAGCTCGTTATTCTAAGGTGGTCTTGATGGTGGTTTCTACAAGGTGTCTCGGGTAGCCACTGACGGTGATAAGGGTTGATTTGAGGTGGCCTAATTCTTGTTGAAGCTTGGCAGGACTGCATGTGTTTTGGGCACGTCTTAAAGGCGTTGAAACGGTGGCTCGCTTGATCTGGGGATGATGGTTGGAGTGATGATGGATATATTGGTCAGTATGGGTTGGCTTACGGTAGACGGAAGTGATGAGCTGGTTGTCGGAGTTCTGGATGGTGATGTCTAGGAAAGGGAGTTGGTGTTCTATATCAGTCTTCATAGTGAACTGGATACGTTGGTGGTGTTTGTATATAGTTCACGTGCCTGTCCTGGGTCAGTGATTGTGATTTACACAGGGTGACACAAGAGTAAATCTGACCAGGGGTCATGCACGTGAAACACATGCTTACGTCACCTGTCAGACATTACATCAATTGAACCCACGCCCTGAATGAGGTGATCAAAACAATCACGAAAAAAAATGATAGTTATATAGGTAACATTTTTAATAGGCGATCACCGTGACATTAAAATAGGTTCCAGTTAAATCCCAGAGAAACATGAAGGTAAATGTAAACACTTTTACACTGAAACGAATAACTAAAAAGATATTTGCAAAAAATGCAGTCCCAAAAGTTAGGTTGACAGACTATAGAGGGTATTACAACAACAGGTATAACAGAAACACCCAGAGGTAACTTGGCAACTAACGGAATTTGTTGCTGTATACTGAATGGGTGCCAACAACCAACAAAGACTGCAAGGGTGATTAGAAGATTGATTCGGGCCTGGCTCCCCGAATGAACGCATACATTGCCAGTCATGGGGGCATGACCCGTTATTGATTAAGTTATCTCAAACCATCATCTTTCGACTACAGTGAGTGAGTTTATTTGTACGAATCCTTCAGCAATATTCCAGCAATATCACGTCGGGGACACTAATAATGGGCTTCACACATTGTACACGTGTGGGGAATCGAACACAGGTCTTCCACATGACGAGCGAACACTTGAACCACTCAGCTACCTTTTTCGACTGCAGACCCTTCTTAATCACTGGACTGTCTGGTCCAGACTCGATTTATTTACAAACAACATTGTACAGCTGTAATACTGCTGAGACAAATATATTCTCATGATAGAGTCACACTTTTACAATCGACTCTGCTTTTAGCAGAGATTTCTTATTGATTTGGAAAGGTTTTGTCGCTTCTATTAACACACCTGTACCATGGCCCGTTTATTGTAATGGTGCACCTTGCCCTTTCTGGGCTTTCTGTAATTCTAATTTGCATGGAGGAGATATATGTTTTGTATCATATGGAAATGACCTTAAGGTTTAATTGATGTCATTTTAGAAAGAGGTCAAATGTAACACATGCTATGTTTTGGATGACACTTTCTCAGTAAGAACAGATTCTAGTACTTTTGTTGAGTCCCACCTACACACTCAGAGTCAGGCAATTAATCGCCAGCACGCAGTCTACCCCACTCAGCCATCGCGGCTTCCCAAAAAATGGAAGTCAGAGAACTGGTAGTCTAGACCAGCGACTTTGTGTACCCCATGGCCGAAAGCTATGAATACACAAATGCCAATTAGAAAGTGATTTAATGTAACACTCTGAGTGTGTGGTTCGAATCCCGGATGGGACCCAACCCAAGAAAAAAATTAGAATCTGTACTTTACTGAGAAAGTGGAATCCCAAATGTATGGTCTTTGGTTAATAACATCTATTTCGAAATATATATCAAATGTGAAAGTTTTTTTCACCTTTTGCCCTGTATTTGAATAGCATATATGCTGAAAGAACCGATTTCATTACAAGTGTCTCGCTAATGGATCTATGCTATGAACACAAATGATAATGGCACAAAAGTAGGGATCTTTTGTTCCAAGATAATGTAGCCAATGTAATCTCACAGAACTCGAGACTGTTTTAGCAATAGATTTTTTCTCGTGTTCGTTTCATATATTTTAGAAGAATAGTTGTTTATACTTCAGCAGACCTTGTCACATAACCCTATTTCCACTTTGCAATAAATCTTTCTACCATAAGAAACATATAAAAAGAGTTCTGTGACAACATTTGTTTACTTCCATTGTGTGTACAAACATGTACATTACATGTGTTAAGAGGATTGCTATTACAACATGTCAAGCCATTCAGATTTGCAGAGATACAACATGAAAACTGCTGATGAAGATCCGGCTTAGAATTGGTCTTCAGCAACCAATTTGTGTCCCTAGCGGCGACTAAAAGCATTCGGTGGTGAGAATTCTGACTTGTGTGATTGATGTTACCTAATGCCATTTGTGTCGACCGATGCTCGTGATATCAATGGTTACATTGTAGTTGTTGTTGTTGTTGTGTCACCGAAAACCGCAATATAGTTGGAATATTGCTGCATGCGGTGTTAAACAACAAATAAACACAACAATATTCCAGCTATATGGAGGCGGTCTGTAAATAATCGAATCTGGACCAGACAATCTAGTGATCAACATCATGAGCATCGCATTAGGGCTTCGATGACATGCATCAACCAAGTCAGCGAATCTGACCACTCGATCCCGTTAGTCACCACTTTGTGTGTTGCTAACCCGGGTCTACACGGCCAACTAAGGCTCTCAGGTGTGTTTATTAAGAAATGCTTCAGATTAGCATTTTAACAAACAAAGGCATTACCAATAAGACCACCATGATAAGGTGACGAGTTTACACCTTACGAACACGTTAATGGCTCAAGTGGCTATTTTGTTACCGTCTAAAAAGGTTACCCGAAACCCAAAGGAATTCAAGATTTAATAAACGAAAGTAGTAATAATAATAGAAAGCGATGGTCTCCCATGCCTGACGTCACAATTTCTTGTAACTTTGTTCCCAACCTGAAGCACAAAGGTTGTAAAATAAGTAAATAACCACACAAGATTAACATTTTATAATGAAACACTAGAGGTTTACGGTCATAAACAGCCATACAATGGATCAAGGAATCTGAAAAAATGAGTCAAAATATTTGTCAGCAGTAATAAATTTTAGTCCCTTTGTCAAAAGTCAGGTCAGTCAGTGTTTGTTGTGGTTGTTTTTAACATGGCACTGAAGAAACCTTGATTAAGATTGATTATATATACTCAGTCTGTAAATATTTTAATACCCATTTCAAGTTGAGCTCTCTTTCACAAAACCCGAGCGTTTCAAAACATTAACCCATCGACAGCCAAGGTGTCGATCAATATGGCAATTGCTCTAGATAACTATTAGAATGTTGTATACGTTAGCTATCAGGACAACAGCTGGGGTAGCCTAGTGGTTAAAGCGTTCGCTCGTCACACCGAAGACCCGGGTTCGATTCCCCACATGGGTACAATGTGTGAACCCATTTCTGGTGTCCCCTGCCGTGATGTTGCTGGAATATTGCTGAAAGGCTAAAAGAGGCTAAAAGAGGCAAGAGGCGAAAATCTAAACTCACTCGTTCGTCGTCTGCAGCTGAAATCAGTGTGATCGCCATAGTAGGTGTTTTTGTACACAGGTGATATAGGGGCGTTGGGGAATATCAGGTGTACCCTGATAGTTAAAGCGATTACTTGTAGTATGTGAAGCCCGTCTTTACTGTCACTCATTGGAATAGTGTTTGAATCGGCTCACTCACTCACTCATTATGGGTACTCATTATATATAGTCAAAGACTTAAAGATTATTTAATTTGGTTACTATAATTTAACAATATTTTCCGTGGTATTGATTTAACATCAGCAAAGAGAGGATTAAGTGAAGGAATTGTAAAAGAGTAATGAAATCACTGAGTGAGTGAGTTAGGTTTTACGTCGCTTTTAGCAATATTCATTCGGCGTGACGAACGAACACTTTAACCACTAGACCACGAGTCCGTGTATAACTTGTTGAATGTTTACATACATTTTACCCTGATAAACAAACCTTAAAAACAAATGTACAGGACTCGAAACATGTTTCTATATTCAGCCAGAGAGAGATAACCTGTGCAACAGTGTAAATGTCAGATAACTGACACATGTCTATTTCCCATACTTGTTTGTTCACGAAGAACATCCAGAAACACTGCCGTTGTCACTGTCGTCACGGTAGACGCAGCATGCTTCAGTTCCTGGCGTTCCTGCTGGCGGTGTACACAGGTAGGTCTATCTTGAACGTGTAATGACCAAATCCACATTTTGACACTTATTTCAAAAGACGCTAGTGAATGCAACTGTTAAACTAGCCCATAGTTTGATAATCACAGAGTGTCACTTTCAATAGTCACCAACATCCGATTCTGCCAGATTCTTACACACTGCTTTATTCCGTGATAGTGTTGCGTAGTACAATTAAAAAAATATTACACATGAAGCAGGTTCAAGCTGAAACCATACAAAATATAACCTTATTAAAATACCCTTATGTCCAAAACAACGCTTTATACAATACAAATTCACTTATTATCTTAATATTCCTTATCATTCAAGATACGGTAGTGTCACGCATGCGTCACAACACCATTGTGGTAACTATCAAAACGATTTAGGCTACTAAGTGAACTTTTATAAATCATACATTCATAAAAGCATATACCATACATGCATATACAAACATATTACTCACAAATTTCATGGCAGAATCAATACATCTGAAGTAGCCGTACTCGTACATCATTTTCTCCCCCACAGCGATGCACACTGTCCTCTCACGCCATACTGCATGCTTTTTGTGCCTTATGCCCTCCACCCGCAGTTACCACCCCTGTTCAAAACTAAGCCATTTAACCGCATACCGCTAAATAAACAAAAGTGACTGTCTGTCTGTTAGCGTAACAGGACCATCAATCCTGTGATAAAGAAAACTAATTACCCATATTTTTGTCATTTACACAGAGAAACAAACATTTGCCGGATTGGGGATGATGGGGGCCCTTGGCGAGGAGGTTTCGAATTTAGACTGTACATAAGATTCGATTTTTTGCAATATAGATAGTTCTTTTCCCTTATAAACCGAAACATGAGTCTCATTAACCAGTTCAGACAATGACATAGTTTTCAGCCAATCCGAAGTTTCTCGTGTGAAAGTGAAAAGAGTCACTACAAACAACTATGGTTACACTGAATTCCAATCCCTTGTTCCATAGGAAAATGGTATTTATAAATTGATTTTAATTTTAAAGTTTAAAAATATCGTATTTCTATATCTTATGTCGAGGTTTAGGCAGCATGTCGTTAACTAAGACTTGACAGACTGCCCCTGTTTGAAGAGGTCGTACAATCATTCACAATCCATCTGGCTCACTGGTTACACCTGTTATGTGTTCTTTGCACTAATTAAGTATATTTTAGTAACGTACAATATGATTGATATGATATCAAGTCCGTACCAGACCGTCAAACCTTTCTAGCGGCAGAGCCTCGTTTTGAGAATTCCACTATTTCCAGATTTCCGTTTGTCAGAGCACGCTGTACGACAGAGCACGCTGCACGGCCTGTTTGCAAGGATTAGAAGGAGCGTAGTGGTGCAATATACAAGTTATTAGATGTATCAAATCATATTGATTAATATTTATATATCCAGTTGAATGAGTTGTTCTCCAAATTCACTCTGGTTATTGTACTAAGTTGCGCAATAGGACGGAACCCAGTCAGCAGAAAACGAGACTGTTGTGTAATTAGTGTTTTGACTTGAGGTGCGTTCGCTCGTCACGCCGAAGACCTGGGTTTGAATCCCCACATTGGTACAATGTATGAATCCCATTTCTTGTGTCCATCCTATTTCTGACATCCAATGCCAAAGATATTCCAGAAAACAACTATTGTTTGTAAAGTTCAGGGAGATCTTGACTGATATGAATGATGTACTTCTTCAAATAGTGGCTTACCACAAGTAAAGTGGACCCAAACGATTTTAAAAAAGTCAATGATAAACAGTGATAAAAGTTAATGATAAAGTCACTGCGTCTCTTTGAAGTTTCCTCTAAGCTGTCATATCATGATATGAAAGAACATGTTCAAAGCGGCGTTTGTATTCACTCACGATCATTCCGTAAATAGTCTGCAAGTATGTTTGAGCGTTCCACGATACTGGACGGTTGTTCCGGACCAAAGCCTCGTTACGCCCACTCCGTTGACCTCAACACTACTTAATCTTACACAGTTTAATCATAGTCTGTCACGCGTGATTATAAATGTAGGTGTATATAGAGAGTTGAGCTTGACGATGAAGTGAAACATGGGTTTCAAATCACGATAATCACCTAAGATTGCACACTCTTGTGCAGTGATGACTGAGCATTGCACCATTGCCACTTATTACTTGAATGTGACCGGACATTTCTCGTATTTGTAAACAAACGCGTATATTTTGAACTCAGAACGGAATGGTTTAATAGAAGCCTTTCTGCGTGATTTACAGATTGTTTATTCTGAAATAATACGCCTAAAATTGTGACATTAATAGAGGGTAATGATATTACTTTTGGCATCAACGTTTTCTCTATCCATCCAAGAGGCGTCTTTGTGCCCACATGGAACCGTAACCATTGAGATTGGAATTGAAAACTTTGGTGGAAGGGAGTGGAGAGAGTGGGGGAGGTAAAATTGAACACCACATCGGTCATATTTCAGCCATATCGTGACAAGTGAAAATGAAGACAAGGACACATTTTCAGTATAGAGCTACAGTCCGTTTGAGACAAAATGATACCGATGAATTGCAATCTAACACAAAAACAAAAGGACATAAAAGTATCAAACCAACGCGGACTGCAATAAAAACAACAGACCAACTCTAGAAAAAAAAGGTGCATAATTTGTGTCACAAAAATAACAATGTTGTTAAGAAACTGTCATCATTTATTTGTGCGTTTTCCAAGTTTGTTACAAGGACGCATTGGCAACTAAAGGAACTGCGCGAAAAGCGAGATGCACACGTGCATTAGTGACGTCAGAGACATGCGATTACTGTTGATTGACAAAGTGAGAGAAAATGAAAGTCTATGATTTACAAAGTCTATGATTTTTTTCAAGGATGAAAAAGAGAGGGGGTGACTCAAGTATGCAAATACTAAGTACATACAGCGCACTGCCTGTGCAGCTGGGGTACGTGTCATCTCGCCAGCTCAACAATTTGTTGAGAACCCGTTAACGCACGTGCATCTCGCTTTTCGCGCTGTTTCTTTAGTTGCCAGTGCGCCCTTGTAACAAACTTGGAAAACGCACAAATAAATCAGATATGAAACGAAGGAATGTAACAGTATTTGTCAGTATTATTGTTTAACTGTTTCTGATTTCATTAGTATGCATCAGCATGGATACCAGCGAAGACCCAGGTTAGAATTAGTCTTCAGCAACCCATGCTGGCGAAAGAGGCAACTAACGGGATCTGGTGGTCAGGGTCGCTGACTTGGATGACACATGTCATCGTATCCCAATTGTGTAGATCGATGAACGTGATTGTCTGGTCTAGACTTTATAACTTATAGATCGTCGCCATATATCTGGAAAATAGTTGCGTTAAACAACAAGCCATCCAACCAACCATCAGAGATCGAGATACAGCGTTGATACCTACGATATATGCATTCCCGATTACAATGGCAACAATTTGATGATTTACATTTTCTCATTACGTCACTTCCGCCGTTTGTTTCAGTGGGAGCTGTGTGTCCATTTGGATTTGTTCACTATGGTGACTCCTGCTACGCTTTCATTGCAGAAGAAAAGGCGTGGGACAAAGCTCAGGTTTGTACAACACTGAAGTTTGAGTGATGAATATGTACAAAGCATCTCATATTTTCACTGGGGACCAGGTTCCTGTACTTCAACTCCCACAGTTAACACAGACTTAGGACAATCGTAGTGTTGAGACCGCTTTGTGAGTGAGTGAGTGAGTGAGTTTATTTTCACGCCGCACTCAGCAATATTCCAGCTATATGCCTGCTGTCTGTAAATAATTGATATTCAGGAACCCGTGTCGTAAGAAGCAACTAACGGCGATAAACAGTTATGCTCGCTGACCTGCTTGATATATGTTTTTGTATCCCATTTGCGCCGATCGATGACCATAGTGTTGATCACTGGATTGTCTGGTCCAGACGTGATTATTTACAGACCGCCGTCACACAGCAGGAACCTTGCTGAGTACAGCTTTAAACTAAAAATTCATATGTTAACACACTTCTAGACAACACGATTCTGCATTTATTGGCACTGTGCCCAAGCTGGTGGATTTAACCAAACATATACAATCACGTAAAGTTACAAAGACTTTTCACTCATTCACACACCCGCTAACTGTTACCCCTTACGTGTTTGTCGTTGTAGGACTTCTGCCTGAGGAAATATGGAGCCCATCTGGCCGAGGTCGAAACAGCTGGCGAAAATACGTTCATAGTGGACTACCTAAATAACAATACGCGTACGTCAACGTCATTATTTAGCTAGAAGCATCCCTCGTGCCTTGACGGCATATCATTGTGACATGACCGACAAATGACGTCACACAGTACTATTTTAACAATAATCAGGCAGTTGTGTGTCGCCACAGTGCTGATTCCTAAGTTTGCAATCCAGGTAATGGCATCTTCTGTTCGGAAGACCCGTGAAGATCCGAGTTAGAATTGATCTTCAGTAACCCATGTTTATCGTAAGAGGCGACGAAACGGGATCGGGTGGTCAGGCTCTCTGTCTTGGTGAACACATGTCATCGTATCCCAATTGCATAGAACGATGCTCATGCTGTTGATCACTGGGTTGTCTGGTCCAAACTCGATTATTTACAGATCGCCGCCATGTAGCTGGAATATTTCTGAGTGCGGTGTAAAACTCATTCAAGCATTCACTGTTCGGAAGAGCTGTGATATATTGCAGATACATTCTATGGTCATATGAAGATTCTGTGACTATGGATATAGTTTGTAGATATATTCTATGGCTACGAGCTATGATATACATTGCAGATATATTCTGTTCATAGTCTACGAGTTGTACGCTGTAGATACATTATAGGGCTATGAGCTGTAATATCCATTGCAGATATATTGAATGTCTACGAACTATGATAAATGTTGCAGATATATTGAATGTCTACGAACTATGATAAACGTTGCAGATATATTGAATGGCTACGAGCTATAATATACGTTGTAGATGTAATCTATGGTTTCGAGCTATGATGTACGTTGAAGAATGATACATTCTTTGGCTGCAAGCTATGATAAACGTTGCAGATACATTCTATGACTATGAAATGTGGTATACGTTGTTAATATATTATATGGCTACGAGCTATGATATACATTGAACATACATTTTATGGCTATGAACTATGATAAACGTTGCAGATACGTTCTATGGCTATGAACTGTGATACACGTTGTTAATATGTTATATGGCTATGAGCTATAATGATATACGTTGCAGATACATTGAATGGCTGCGACCTCTGATATAATTTGTTTATACACGTTACAGATACACGGTCTTATATACGTTGTAGATACGATCTACGTTACAGATACGTTCTACGGCTACGATATATGATATACGTTGTAGATACGTTCAACATCTACGAGATATGATATACGTCGTAGATACGTTTTACAGATACGTGCCTACGGCTACGATATGATATACGTACAGATACGTCGTAGATACGTTCTACGGCTACGAGATATGATATACGTTCTACGGCTACAGATATGATATACGTTGTAGATACGTTCTACGGCTATGAGATATGATATACGTGGCTACGAGATATGATATACGTTGTAGATACGTTCTACGGCTGAGATATGATATATGATATACGTTACAGATACGTTCTCCGGCTACGAGATATGATATACGTTACAGACACGTTCTACGGCTACGAGATGTGACATACATTAAAGATATGTTCTACGGCTACAAGATATGATATACGTTACAGATACGTTCTACGGCTACGAGATATGATATACGTTACAGATACGTTCTACGGCTACGAGATATGATATACGTTACAGATACGTTCTACGGCTACGAGATATGATATACGTTACAGATACGTTCTACGGCTACGAGATATGATATACGTTGCAGATACGTTCTACGACTACGAGATATGATATACGTTGCAGATACGTTCTACGGCTACGAGATATTATATACGTTACAGATACGTTCTACGGCTACGACCTGTGGTTGGGAGGAACTGACAATACCTTCGATAAGTCTTGGCGCTGGGCTGTGCTCTCCAACACAACCTTGACGTTCACAGACTGGTCACCAGGGCAACCAGACGGTAGTTTCCAAGGATTAGAACGTTGTCTGGAACTGGAATCCACGTACAAGTTGAAATGGAACGACGACGACTGTTACGACCACAACCTGTTCATTTGTGAACGACCGTAAGTGTAATTCACCCATACGTCCTCCTGCCTGCAACAAGCTACCTTTTATCACAGGATACTGAGCAAAGACCGTATGTGAATCATTGTGTTACATGGTAACTGATTTTTGTTACGTACAATGTTCAGAATGATGATCTTATGTTATTTTGTTATCTTTCCTTCGGGTATGTACGGAATCTTTACATCACACTATTTTTAGTACATGCGTTAGTTGCTAAAAAGTGTCAGACAAATTAGACGACCCCTCATAGACACTTTTATTTTATAATACGATACTAGATAATGAGAAAAATATATTAGTTATGTTGCTTTCAAAAGTGCAAAAATGTGATACAGATGTAACTTCACGGAAAGTATGAACATTAAAGGCATCGTCTCAGAACACTACTATCATGAAGCGAATATGTGGAGAATATTTATACTCATAGATTCTTAATTGCTTTTCAGATTTAATCCTCCTATCCCTCCTTTACCGGATGTTGGACGCTGATCAGATTATCGATTTCTTCCTTGAGGGGCGGCCATGAGGGGCGGTCACTCTTTAACCATTCAGTAAAATGGTTAGCAGTTTACTGTTTAATGTCATCTTTTCAAATTACCTCACCCGTGAAAATCCGGGTTAGAATTGGTCTCAAGCAAGTCATGCTTGTTGTAAGAGGCCACTAACGGGATCGGGTAATCAGACGTTGTTGACATCGTATCCAAAATGCGTATATCGATGCTCATGATGTCAGTCACTGGATTGTCTGGTCGAGACTCGATTGTTTACAGACCGCCGTCATATGGCTGGAAGGTTGCTGAGTGCAGCGTTAAACAACAAACAAACAAACAAAACAAACACAAATCACTGATACATTATTAGAGCTTAGTGACGATTGATTATTAGGAGGCAATCTTCAACACATTAACAAAGTCAGCTATCACGGCCAGAATCTACACATCGTAGTGTCAGGTCACCACGAACTTCCACCACACTGTGACATATCCGTGTTCCGTTGTATGGTACATGTAAAACTCGATCGATATGATCTAACATCTGTAAATATTTCACCCAGTGCCACGGAGCATGTGTTATGTCGCTGGGTTTGTATTCTGGCAAATGCGCCGTACTCTGAGAGTGTTGATTAAAATTCCGGATGGTACCTATCAAATAGAAGTGACAAAACTCTTTCCACATCCATAAGAAATATCTGCTAGAGACAGTGATTGAGTGAGTGAGTGAGTGAGTATGCTTTTTAGCAGTATTCCAGCAATATCACGATGGGGTACACCAGGAATGGGCTTCACACACTGTATCCATGTGGGGAATCGAACCCGGGTCTTCAGCGTGACGAGCTAACGCTTTAACCACTAGGCTACCCCACCGCCCCAAATATCCGCTAGAAGCAGAGTCGATTGTGCCAGTGTGTCCATATCATGAGTATATATTTGTTTCATTACAGCTATAAGATGTTGTTTGTATACAAATCGAGTCTGGGTCAGACAATCCACTGATTGTCGCCATGCGATACGATGACAATGCATGAATGAATGAATGAATGAATGAATGAATGAATTGTCTTTATTTCCTCCAATAATGTCGGAGAGTACAATGAGTTATGACATGAATACAAAATACATGATTATGTACAAATCATATTAAAATGGGAAAGAAAGTTAAGCATATGTATATATAATACACTGGGGCGTCACTGAATGGAATACAAATCATAGGTAGATCCTGCTCTGTAGGTTCCAGGAACTAATGTTCCTGGCTACAATGTCAATGAACTGGGCCCACATGTGGATGTCCATGTTATCCACGATAGGGGTGATGCCACCAAGTAGAGTGATAACTCTCGTGTCATCAGAGCTACTCTCCAGATTGATATATGTTTCTAGAGGCAAGATATCGAACAATCGTTCATACATGTTATTTCTTTGGCTAAACAGTTCACTGCAGCACAACAACTGGTGCTGCACAATATCATCTGTCTCCTCACGACATATAAGACAGAGTCCAGCACTGACCGGTAGTATCCCAAGCTTTACCAGGGCGTACACAGGCCTACTGTACAGGTCAAACAGTAATCACATGTTCCACAGTCTATGGGACGAGAGGCCCGTGTGTATAGCAGTAAACCGTTGTAAGTCGGGCCGCATGGATAACTGCTTTCTCCATACTGACTTCTCTCTGGTAAACACTGCTTTATTACATATAGTTTTCCACTCATATTTTGATGGAAAGAATCCCTTATCTATGTAATGAAGCAGATATTGATACAGTTCATACTTCGCACATATAGTAATCAAGTCATGAATAACAGAGTTTTTGTTGAAGTTACCACTTAAGAACTGTCCACATCTGAAATAAAACAGTAGCTTGATCATTTGGGTTGAGCTCGCGCGACATATTCTGCCGAGGTAGCTCAATTTCTTTTTGTCAATCGTGGCCTCCATACTGCAGAGTCCGAGAGTCTGTGTGGTAGCAGCAGTTGGAGACCGCACATGGAATCCTTGAATGATTCGTGCAAAGTATCTCTGCAACCTCTCTAATTCTTCTATTTCTGGTCTTGTGATGTTAGCCCACAGTTCACATGAATACAGGGCACTTGCTAAGATAATACGCTGCCAGATCTTAGCACAGATTACTGGGTTCAACCCTCCTGCTCGAAGACCAACGTCTTTGAGAGATGCTATTATCCGTCTAGCAGAAGAACAGGCTCGACTCGTTCTCTCACTTTGGCTTTTGGTATGAACCAGAGATCCTGCGTATATTGTACTATTTTTTTACAGGCACGTGAATGTTATTCAGTTTAAAGTTAGGTTCCTTGATATCCTTCTCTCCGCCCTTGAACACAAGAACGCAACTCTTGGCTGGATTGTAGCACAACCTCCACAGGCACGAGTAATAATGTACAATGTTGAGTGAAGCCTGCAGTCCATGATTAGTTGTACTGATCAGGGTCGTGTCGTCTGCTAGCACCACTGAAGGTATATGATGTTGTCCAATCAACGCTCACCGTTTAAGGTTGTCGAGCTGTGTGATCAGATCATTGATGTAAAGGAGGAACATCCATGCAGACAACACTCTTCCTTGCCCCACTTCTTGTCTGATTGGGAAAGTACGACTCGTGATGCCGTTGTATTGAACACATGCAGACGCTTCTTTGTACGAGTGTCTAATCAAGTGCACCACCTCCACATGTCTACCATAAAACTTCTTGAAAGCTTTACTGAGGCATTGAAAATGTTGTAACCTTGATCAAACAACTTCTGAGCCAGAGTGGCATGACGCTCTTTGAAATCCTGGTAAAAAAAGACCACGCTCGATTGTACCTCAAATGTTGTGAAATGTAAACACTAAAGGCTGGAGCTGTGGGAAATATTGCTCGACATGAAAGGGAAGCTGACTATTGGAAAGCTGTCATACAGCATTGTGGAGCGTTTCTTGTTACTCTGAATCTTTATGCATAGATCTAAATATGATCTTTAATTGTCTCCTTTATTTCAAGTTCAGTTGGATAAATCAGTGGAATGCAATTGGCTATTTGATGGTTACTGAAGGATATAAGTTAAACTTCTTGGCTAAATTACCTGGTTTTGATTTTGCCAACCCAAGCACAAATTCTGATACATATGCATAAAGAAACAGATGCGCAAGTAGGGGAGCACAGTTGCTGCCCGTGGGGTTGCTTACTTCTTGTTTTACACCCAAATATAAAAAAAAGGTTATCAATGAGAAAATCCAGCATATCACATATTGTTTTCTCGGTAAACTTCATATGACAAGTATTATACTTAACTAAGATCCTGTAATCACAAATGTGAATTATGTTTTAAGTTTGACCACTTTCAAAAGGCACTGTCTGCTTTTAACTCTGGGCCGTGGGGACCGTGCCAGTTTACATTCATGAGAAGGGTAGGCAATACGTGATCTGAACTACCTGTTGTGGGCGCTCCATGGTTTGGGTGAAACTTCGGTGGCTGAAGGGGTTAGATCGCTACTTTGAAAGGATTAGGTTCTTTACAGTGTGAGTGGTGGATCAAATCACGGTTGCAGATCTACACTCTTCAAAAAAGAAACGCATAGGCGTTTTCAGCAGATCATTTCGACATTTTTGACAGCAATCGTCATTAAGGCATGTCGTGGTTGTTGTGTATTGCGGTCAAATGCATCCCAAAATGTGTTTGTAAACGTTTGTCGTAAAAAATGAAACGATACATTAAAAGTGCATGCAGAAAAGGTTTTCCACGTAATGCCCGTGCAATGTGTCGTAAACATGAGTAGAAACATCGACATTAAAAGGCCAAACCAAATTCATCATTACATTACGAAATTTACGACGTAAACGAAGACTAAAAGTGCTACTGACCGAAATATCGCCATTGGACGTTTGGAAGCAGGGGAGTCCCAGTCTGCCACTGAAGGACACTTCAACGTTCACTACAGCACCATGTCATGACATCGATATACCCACTTCAGTTCGACCCACTCCTGTGCAGGACCGATTAATCCGGGTGTTTCACCTACGTCACTGTTTTGTTACAGCAACGGACACTGCAGGACAGGTGCCTGGTCTTCGAAGAATATCCGACCAAACCATCAGAAATCATCTGAGAGAAGTGGGAATTCGAAAATATCGACCAAAAATTGGACCCGTCCTGACACGATTACACCGACAACGACCTGTCCAGTGGTGCAGCAGGGTACAGGCATGGGACTTGGGGAACGCAAGGACCGCGTTTGGATCCTCCTGCAACGACGGGATGGAAGACAACGTGTCTATCGGCGTCAACACGAACGTTTTGTGCCAAACTGCGTTCGACAGGTCGACAGATTTGGTGGAGTAAGCGTCATGGTGTGTGTGTGGTGGGTGGGGGTGGGGTCTTTTTTTGTGTGTGTTCATGTCCAACACGGGTAGATCAGACCTCACCTCCTGCCACTTTTAACCGCCAGAGGGAGCTGTTTCAACTCGACAACGCTTGACCCCACACAGCTCGTGTAACAAGCGCCTATCTCGCCAATGCAAAATAAATGTCCTTCCCTGGCGCCCGATCGAGCATCTTTAGGACGAACGTGGTCGACGCGTCCGTAAACGTCACCATCGTCCTCAGACACTTTGCAGGAGAAATGGCGAAGAGTTCCCCAAGCAAAAATCCGACGTGCAATCCCTTCCAATGCGGTGTCGAGCAGTGAAGGCAGCAAGGGGTGGTGTCACCAGGCACTGACGTGAACGCCCCCTTGTGTCCACAAATGTGCAGTGAGTGAACTGAATGAATGCTGACAATGACAACGATACATATGTTCATCCATATATCGATTTTCCTTCATCTATGTTCAAGCTTAATCGACTTATGTACACTTACATACGTTTAATACATTTCCTTATTTTGGGCCTATGCGTTTCTTTTTTGAAGAGTGTATCCAGAAAAGTACAACAAGAGTGCAATCCCAAACTAATATCAAATAATTACCTGGTTCCTACTGGTAGACTGAAAGTGAAGACCATGATAGTTGTCTGTAGGATATCGGTGTTGAGAATGCTCTCAGCAAACGTTAAACCATACCATTTATTCATGTTAATTAT